CAGTGCCTGAGTGTGTGGTGGTAGTGGTAGTGGTTGGAAGAGGAAGAAGGCAGCTAATTTCTGCAGCTCGGTTGGGAGCACGGCGCAGTGCCTGAGCGTGTGGTGGTAGTGGTTGGAAGAGGAAGAAGGCAGCTAATTTCTGCAGCTCGGTTGGGAGCACGGCGCAGTGCCTGAGCGTGTGGTGGTGGTGGTAGTGTTTAGAAGAGGAAGAAGGGAGCTATTTCTGCAGCTCGGTTGGGAGCACGGCGCAGTGCCTGAGCGTGTGGTGGTAGTGGTTGGAAGAGGAAGAAGGCAGCTAATTTCTGCAACTCGGTTGGGAGCACGGCCCAGTGCCTGAGTGTGTGGTGGTAGTGGTAGTGGTTGGAAGAGGAAGAAGGCAGCTAATTTCTGCAGCTCGGTTGGGAGCACGGCGCAGTGCTGAGCGTGTGGCGGTAGTGGTTGGAAAGAGGAAGAAGGCAGTAATTTCTGCAGCTCGGTTGGGAGCACGGCGCAGTGCCTGAGCGTGTGGTGGTAGTGGTTGGAAGAGGAAGAAGGCAGCTGATTTCTGCAGCTCGGTTGGGAGCACGGCGCAGTGCCTGAGCGTGTGGTGGTGGTGGCAGTGGTTGGAAGAGGAAGAAGGCAGCTAATTTATTCATTTATTTATTTGAATACTTTCCATGCCCGAAGGCTTTACAGAAAGGAGTGGGGGTTATACAACAAAAAGTAAACAAAATTTCTGCAGCTCGGTTGGGAGCACGGCGCAGTGCCTGAGCGTGTGGTAGTGGTTAGAAGAGGAAGAAGGGAGCTAATTTCTGCAGCTCGATTGGGAGCACGGCTCAGTGCCTGAGCGTGTGGTGGTAGTGGTTGGAAGAGGAAGAAGGCAGCTAATTTCTGCAGCTCGATTGGGAGCACGGCTCAGTGCCTGAGCGTGTGGTGGTAGTGGCTGGAAGAGGAAGAAGGCAGCTAATTTCTGCAGCTCAGTTGGGAGCACGGCGCAGTGCCTGAGCGTGTGGTGGTAGTGGTTGGAAGAGGAAGAAGGCAGATAATTTCTGCAGCTCGGTTGGGAGCACGGCGCAGTGCCTGAGCGTGTGGTGGTAGTGGTTGGAAGAGGAAGAAGGCAGCTAATTTCTGCAGCTCGGTTTGGAGCACGGCGCAGTGCCTGAGCGCGTAGCAGCGTGAAAGTGCTGCAGCCACGCGTGGGTTGCATGAGCGCGACCTTCTCTCACTCCGTTTTTTTCAGCCGTGCCGCGCGTACGGATCTCGTACGCGCGCTTGCCCGAGGAACGCTCGTGCGCGCATGAGGCAAGACACCGAAAGCTCCATGATATGTGGTGTTTAACGTCCCAAAACCACCATATGATTATGAGAGACGCCATAGTGGAGGGCTCCTGAAATTTCGAACACCTGGGGTTCTTTAACGTGCGCCCAAATCTGAGCACACGGGCCTACACCATTTCCGCCTCCATCGAGAATGCAGCCGCCGCAGCCGGGATTCGATCCCGCGACTTGCGGGTCAGCAGCCGAGTACCTTAGTCACTAGACTACCACGGCGGGGTGATAAGTAATGTTATTGCGGCAAAACAGCGCTATAAACCCTTATGCAAGCTCAAGCAAACTTAACAAATGCCAAAGCATCCCGTTCCCCTTCGGCCACTTGATACCATTCTGAAAACTATAGGCGAGGTGTTGCTGTGAATCCTGCACGGCAGCCCACACTGATCAAAACGTTAGCTCGCGTGACGATAGTTATAGCGCGAGAACAAAACGACGACACAAAGACAAGAAGGACACGAAGACACGAGCTTTGTGTCGTCATTTTGTTCTCGCGCTAACTATCCTCATGCCATACCAACTAGCCCAAGCTGCCACACTTCTAAGTTACCTCGCGGTCGCACACTTTCCGCGCAAAAGCATGAGGCAGGAGCGCGCCATCGCGCTTGCCCCGGTAAACATAGACGTTCGCGCAATGTGAGAATGCTTCGATTTACAGATTACGAGATGATTTTCACAACAACTTACCTTTTACGAACCAGAGCGCCTCTTCGCGTTGTGCGCCCGTGGCGCCACGAGCACGCGGTGCGTCGAAAGTGCGAATCTTTGTTGGGCGCCGTTAACGGGTGTTTGTGGTGAGGCTTAATGGCGAGACCACACGCATCCATTACCCTTCTAACAACCTCTACATCCGTTGAAGCGCGTCAGCGCGCGCCTTCTCTCTCAGTGGGGAAAGGGCGCGCAGCCACGCGCCCTCTCCCCACTGAGAGAAGGCGCGTGGCTACGCGATGCCGCGTGCCCTCTCTCTCTACAAATGGGAGAGGGTGCGACGCCGCATCAAAAAGACAAGCGCCGACGCGCTGCGACGGATACGTGTGGTCAGGCTTCTACGCCCGTTCCTGCGTTGAGCGGCGTCACCGTTTCTGTCGATGGCGAAACCGATGGACTAGAAAAAAATGAATCGAAGACATGAAAAACAACAACAATAAAGCGATAAATATAAATACCCAGGATCGAATGGAATTCGAATCATTGCTGGTGCTTGAAAATGACTTGGAAAGAGACCCTATACAGGCGTCATGTTGGGCAAAGAATCGCGTTAACCGATGTAGTGTAGCGTGGCTTAAAAGTAGCGACCAGTCATCACACAGTGATAATTGCGCAACAAGTATGCGGCAGAATGCTTCCAGCACACTGAAAAAAGATCTAGTCATCAACGCGCTATCATCGCAGTAAGGTAAGAGGGTTTTGTAAGCCGGGCTTTCGACGATACGCCGGTAGCCTCTCACAAGCTCTCGCTATATCGAATTTACGAGCATAACAAAATATAAAACGTTGGGATGTGCGATTACTCGATTCAAATACTATTCCGGCATTCTATTCAATCCACAAGGCACTTGTACCATTCGAAACACTTGATCACCACGAAAATTCATACGCACAAAGAATTTCATGCTTCTCCACCTAAGGAAGATTTATCCTTTCGGCCTGCAATAATAAAAGTTTTTTTCTCTCTATCCGCTAAATTTCGCAATATTTTATGAACAAACAAAGCAATCTGCTTCAATTGTCACATGTATGTCGACCGAGCTTAAGATCATACGATTTGTTCATAGCGCCCACTGGCTCGGCGCTGGACAGCTCCGCAAGCAAGGAAGTGTTCCCATTTTTATCTGACGTGCGAACGACATATGCGAATCTTCGCAAAATTTACCTCAAGTGCAGAAGTTTTTAATGCCACGTTTTTTTTTTACGTAAACCAGTTCGTTGTTGACGTCTATAGGGCCTTTTATAATCACGTAGCGTCATTACAAAGGCTTCGGAAGCCGTCATGCAACTTCATATTTTGGAAAGCGCGCAAAAACGCTCGTTTCAAGTTTACAGACTATAGCTCCTGACGTTCGGTTTTCCGCGAGCCTTTTTTTTTAATTTTTAGGTAATTTCCCAACGATTGCCCTAAGTCATCGCGTTTGGGACGCCACTTCAAGCAGCATTGACGCGATTTTGAGGCACCGCGAGAGGGGGTATTTATAGTCTTCTTTGTATGCAGTGATAACGCGGTGCACACACGCCAGACAAAACGTTAAGCTCACTTAAACCATAACAATATTTTACTTTATTTTAAAATTTTAGTCCCCTACTACCTGCAAGCCAGCTCCACTGCATGCGTTGGACGTAATCCCGACGAGTGACGATAGTTATAGCGCGAGGACAAAACGACGACACAGAGACAAGAAGGACACGAAAGACACGATAAAAAAGTTGTTTTGTTCTCGCGCTATAACTATCGTCACGCTATACCAACTAGCCCAAGCTGCCACACTTCCCGACGAGTGGACACGATTCACTGGAGAGTTGCTTGTTGGGCAAGTTGGTTTCGTACTTAGTTAACTACAAAAGACCACGTGTCTGCTTTCCGTCTGTGTTTCTGCTGCTCTGCTTTTTTTTCCGATTTCGACGTTTTGTGGCTTCTTTTGTAGCTTAGAAGTGTGGCAGCTTGGGCTAGTTGGTATGGCATGACGATAGTTATAGCGCGAGAACAAAACGACGACACAGAGACAAGAAGGACACGAAAGACACGAGCGCTATGTCTTTCGTGTCCTTCTTGTCTCTGTGTCGTCGTTTTGTTCTCGCGCTATAGCTATCGTTCTTTTGTAGGTATGCGTAAACAGCTCACGGGGTTTGCCAACTCTGCGCCTTGCATGCAGACTAATTGCAGGCATGGCTGTCGAAACCGTTGGACGACAATTAACTCGCCGTTCTTACCTGTACTACGCGTGAGCTACTGCTAGCTTAGAAGGGTGGCAGCTTGGGCTAGTTGGTATGGCATGACGATAGTTGTAGCGCGAGAACAGAACGACGACACAGGGACAAGAAGGACACGAAAGACACGAGCGCTTCGTGTCCTTCTTTGCAGACTTCACGTGGCGAAGGACACGAAGCGCTCGTGTCCTTCTTGTCTCTGTGTCGTCGTTCTGTTCTCGCGCTATAACTATAGTCATGTCTACTGCTAGCACGTCGCGAGTATCCTCGTGAAGTCAGACGGTGCTTAGACGTCAATACGAAGCCGCCCCTTCGATTTCGAAAACAAAAGTGCTTTTTTTTAAGATAGTGACATCAAAAACACAATTAATACATTTCCAGGCACCACGATACTTTCTTCAAGGTTCTTGACACCAGTGTTCTTATTCTGAGCAATAATCAGAACATATTTAAACTTCTCCTCAGCATTCGTTTAATCATGTTCAATAGATTACCGCTTTCCGCCCGAGAGATTTGTTTACCGGCTCCTTGCGCGGCGAGGGTCGGACGGCATCGACCGACAAATCGTGAGACATGGCCACCGCGTTGTCGGGAAAGGGCACGGAGCCTTCTTGCCCGGCTGATCCTGTCCGGCTGCCGCTCTATACGGCGTTCTTTTCGCCCCTTTTTCTTTTTTTCTTGCAACTTCGCGACACGTCTTTCGAGTCGCTATGCATAATCTATAGCACAACATCGCGTGTTGTTACGCCGCCGCAGTGGGACTCCAGATATCGTCCGGTCGCCGCGCAGAGCAGCATGGCATAAGAAATGTGCGGAGGAACCCTTATAGTCACCGCGGCTATCTCTGCAGCTCGAAGATTTCCCACAGAGCCGGCCGGCCCAAAGGAGGCAAGAGGGTACGGACAGTGAACTTTAGGCTATCTATAATGCGGATAGGTTGCTGAACTAGTTAGCGATTCATAAGAATGAAGAAAGAAAAAGCGCCCCGAAAGACGAAATATGCGGACTAGAAAGTGCTTCTGTCCTGTTCATATAGTTATATCACTATCGTTACACCACTATATGAAAAAAAAAAAAAAAACTAATGCGCTCGTGTCGTTGACTTCTCGTTCTCGCCTCTTTTTTCGCGCCAGTTTATTTATTTAGAAACGTTAACTGCACTGTGAAAGGCGTGGCGATGAGCGGAAGGAGGGTCACTATCATGGCGTGACAATCGATCTGTCTAGACATGGGAACAGGTTCCACCGTTTTAGAATTGAAACCCACGCCGTTTGCATAACCACCATCGGTCAAGGGTGAATACACCGATTTCTCGGAAAAGTTCGGTCGGGAGCGTATATATAGAGAAGCACGAGATTTAGTGAACGGACTTGTACTCTTCGAGAGACGAGGTCCAGTTGTGGAACGAGATGCTCGTCGTGGCCTCAAGCTTCGTTCTTGCTGTAGCCGTCGCACTGGCTGGTGCGACGGCTCTGCCTCCGACCGAGCGATACAGTCCCGACTGGGCTTCCTTGGACAGCCGGCCAACGCCGTCGTGGTTCGACGAGGCCAAGGTGGGCGTCATGGTACACTGGGGCCTCTACTCGGTGCCCAGCTTCGGTGGCGAGTGGTTCTGGCACAAGTGGCGCGAAGGCAAGGAGCCCAAGTACGCCGAGTTCATGCGGCGAAACTACAAGCCCGGTTTCACGTACCAGGACTTCGCGCCGCAGTTCACGGCCGAACTGTTCGACCCGGACCGCTGGGCCGACATCTTCGAAAAGTGAGTTTCCATGGGAAGAGCATGTATGGTTCGCATTTGCTGCTCACATCATCACAGGGTTTACCTTCGTGTTTAGGTTCATTATATTGTGGAGGACGAGACGGGGCCGTAAACCCCGCTCTGCATACAGTATATGACTTACGGTAGTTCTGGCGTAGTGGGCAGGGAGTCACTGGGTTCCCTTTGCAGTAGCAGCGAGAGCTGCTAGCCAGGGTGATGGAATTATAGCTCAATACCTCGTATAACGAGAATAGAGTACACGCTCAAGAAATCCAGAGGCACCATTGTGCGGTTCCTTTCAGAAAATCCATGGCTTTCGGTTGTGCAATCTTCCAGATAATCGTTATCACGCCCCCAGATCTAGATCTGCACCCGAGACGATGTTTAGCGCACCCCGCTGAAGATGTTATTTAAGAACTTCTCGAACGATGGCTCGTTAGAGGGGTTTAACTTCACAACGCGACTCAGGCCATAACAGACGCTGTGAGTGAGAACGTGGTAAAATTTTTACCGCCCGTGTTTCGCCATTGCGTTGCAGCAGGGAATCCGATCGCCGCGACTTGGACAAAACCTCCCCCTTCCCTCCCCGCCCTTTTATTTTCCAGGTCAGAAACCGACCGCTGCAGCCACTGAGCAGTCGTGACAGCTAACTTTCCGAAAAATGCGGCATATTTGCTAACGAGTGGTAAGACGTCACTGCTCGTTTTGCACAGAAGAACTCTGCAAAGTAAAAACACTGGTGGTCAGCCCCTTGTCCTGTGGATGACTGCCCCATATTCAGTGCTGTTCGGCCAAATTCAGTTTGTGCATTTTCACCGCTTCTTTCATCATCGTTCATAACACGATGAGCATCTCCTTCCTCCCCCAGTATATAACATGACGCAGATCATTCACCGAAATATTGTTGCCGCTCTCTTTTAATGAATTCATTGATCGATCAGTTGAATGACTAAAGCTCTCTTACTCTAAGAAAAGGGGAACAAACACGAAATTCGGTTACGTGCTTTGTAAAACTTTCGCTTTCCATAACTATATTTTTCTAGGACAAGTGAGGACTACAACCACCTTCTTGCACTTGCTGCACACATAACCGATCACCAGCGTTTCCACACAACTTTAACTAACCCTAACACTAATTCGTTTATCGTGTTTTTTTCTTCTTTCTTTTCTTGTGTTGTAACAGTGCTCGATACCACTATCCTCCGCAATTCTTCGGCCCTGGGGGTACAGTAAACGAAATGATGTTTCTGAACCAAATAGCCCACCGAAGAACCCTCGTGAAAAGCGGGTATAAGGCCGCGGCGCTCGTTCCTGCTCAAACGGAGACGGCCGGTTGCTCGGCGCACGCATTCGCGCGGCGAGATTGTCTGTCTCACACGACGACGAACACCGCAGGTCGGGAGCTCGGTACGTGGTGATGACGAGCAAACACCACGACGGATTCGCGCTGTGGCCGTCGAACGCGTCCACCAACTGGAACTCCCAGGACGTCGGGCCTCACCGCGACTTGGTTGGGGAGCTGGCCAACGCCGTGCGGCGCAAACAAGGAATGCGCTTCGGCGTGTACCACTCCCTGATGGACTGGTACCACCCGCTCTACATGGCCGACAAGGAGTCGGGCTTCACGAGCGCCCGCTTTCCTCAAGCCAAGACCATGATGGAACTGAAGGAACTTGTGGAGAGGTGAGCATACCCGATAGAAGTTCACGCTTAATTAAAGGCAAACTATAGTCAAATAACAATTTAAGCCAGAGTGAAAGCTTAATGTATGACAACATTTAAAACAACAATATTACAAACAGTGCCCTACTTACCGAGAAGTTAAGGAAAATGCACAAGAACAGAAGCGCCGCAGTAAGACATTTTCAAAATGATCCCGATGACATCAGACGGACCGCCTACAATTAATCGCTCGTAATCGATCAAACTGCATTAAATAACCTTCCATGCAGTAGGATACGCAATAAAATGCTGCTTGTTCGTTTCTGTTTGATTCATGGGAAAAAGAATCGCTGGACAGTACTATGGGAAATGGCGCGAGTGGTTCAAATTTTCAATTTTGGCGTGGTTACACGGGACAGGTAGTGCCATCTAGCGGGGCGCAGTTGGAAAAAAAGCGCCTGCAATCTCGAAGCCAATGGCGGGAAATTGATCAATGGCCGTTGTTGCTGTTGTGGCTCTCGCTGCTTTCTGTCTGCTGCTACTAGCGCAGTAAAGCCGGACAACGTTGTGCACGGCAACAGTGACGTGAGACAGTCCGGTCGGTCCGCTTCTTGAGGCGGGTAATTTGAACTGCGCTAACCCGATGCGGATCACTAAAACGTGATTTTATTCCAAATCAAGCCCTTCCTTGGCACGAAAGTAACATTACGAGGTTTCTGGACCACCATTTCAACAATCAACGTCGACTTAATAGTTGGTTTTAGTGTCCCTTCAAAGCGACACTAAAAAGCAAAACAATTTTTTGCATAATATTACGATTTGAGAATCCAGAAAACGCCACTCTTAGTACGACGTGACGCTTGATAAGCGGGAAAGCGCGCGAAAAGAAAATGCGGGTGGAGACGCCACCGTCATATTCTCGCACCAAACACCGTCACGCAGTAAAGTTTGAAGGCGTCTACCTGCGTAACTTCTTCTAAACGAAGTACGCTATTATCTGTGGGTGCCATAGACCTAGCACACGAAGCGTTGGAAAATTTCACCGAGCCAATGTCGTGAACATACGACAAATACATTTTGCAATTTGTTAAGTTCCGCACGGATATTTAGGCGCGAAATTTAAAAACGAAACTTGATTTTGCCTACTAGTAACGAACTTATGAGAGTGAAACATGTGGCATTATATTTTTCGGAGTGAAGTTTCTGAATCTAAACCAAGTCACTGTTTCTTTTTAGTGTCCCTTTAAAGGCATGAACAGAGGAAAATTTCGGAGAGGACATATAGCGCAACACGATTGAAGCAAAAAGAAAGTTCAACACGTAATAATAACGGCAAAAATGAAGCTTTGGTGCAAATGAAGCTACGGGGCCGAACTAACGTTTTTTGCTTGGACGGTATTACGAGGGACAAAGGCTTCTCGGAGTTTCATTCCATAATTAAGGGATGCTACGTAACGTACGCAGTGATCTTTCCTCGTTTGTTTCCTTCATCATAGAAACCAACTATCAGAAGTTATTAATCCTCTTAATACTCATAATTGTTATGGTTTTACATTACAAAACCACGTTATAATTATGCATGATGGACGCCGTAGTGGAGTGCCTGGAAATTTTAACCACATGCAGTTTTATAGTGCACTTAAATCACTGCAGTAATTATGATTTTTGCCATGTTCATGCTGCATCACCCCCTAAACTCTCTGGGTCTTGAAGGTATACTAATAAATCAATGTATAAATCTAAGTAGACAAACCTCTAGCTTTTTTGCACGAGCGCAATGCTGCCGCCGAAACAGGGGTTCGATCCTGTGGTCTTGGAGCCAGCATTCCAGCACCATAACCACATTAACCAACTCGGCGAAGTAGGTATCGCTAATACTTCACGATGCCGTATATACAGAGTGAGCGCACCCTTGCTTAGTCTGTGACCGAAGTCTCTGTCTTCATTTTGCAGGTACCATCCCGACGTAATACGCACTGATGGGGACTTGGAAGTCCCGGCATCCGCACCCTCGCTTAGCCCCGTGACCAAACTCTCTGTCTTTATTTTGCAGGTACCATCCTGACATAATACGCACTGATGGGGACTTGGAAGCACCGGCATCGTACTGGAACAGCACCGCCTTCCTTTCTTGGCTCTTCAACCACAGTCCGGTTCGGTCCACTGTGGTGGTCAACGACAACTGGGGCAAGGACGTTCGATGCAAGCACGGTGACTCGTTCACCACCTGCGGCGGCGAGCAGGGCATGCTGCAGCACCACAAGTGGGAACACTACGTGCCCGTCGACAAGAGTTCTTTTGGCTACAGGCGCGAAGCCAGCATGTCAGACTACTTCACAACCCGAGAGCTTATCGAGAAACTCATAAGCACCATCAGTTGCAACGGTAACCTGCTCATCAACGTCGGCCCGACCAAGGAAGGCACCATCACGCCTGCCTTCGAAGAGCGGCTGTACGAGCTGGGAAAGTGGCTGTCCGTCAACGGCGAAGCGGTCTACGGATCGAAGGCATGGAAGCACCAGAGGGATGCAGCAGCACAGAATGTCTGGTACACGACCAAAGGAGACACTGTCTACGCATTTGTGCTGAGCTGGCCAAAGGACGACGACCTGTACTTGCAGTCGCTTGAACTGTCGTCGGGAAGTAAGATCACCATGCTCGGGCTCTCCGGCGAGCTGAAGTGGACGGCTGGTAATGGCAAAGGCACAATGGTTCATCTTCCGAAGCTCACACCAGACAAGCTACCCACTCCGTGGGCCTTGGTGTTGGCGGTACATGGTGCCGTCTGATCTTTCACAAGCATCACAGATGTGTTGTCTACGGTTCGGGAAACAATGAGCAAAATGCAACTCATCACCTTGAAATATCAATGTTTCTGATGCCAGCGTCAAAAGCTGGAGAAATCATGCTTGTGTCAAAATAAAACTCTGAAGAATGAAACACAATTGCTGTCATGCTGTTTGATAGAAGAAATGGGCTATTTCTTGATTTATCTGGTCAAAACTGAAATAACATGATGAATAATATTAATGAGAAATAAAAGACAATGATGCCAAGGAAAGTTCCTTGGCATCTTTGTCTGTTAGTTCTTATTATATTGTGTCTAACAAACCAGCCCTCAAATTTCCACTTCTTTCCTTCATTCATAGGGAGAGCTCGGTTCTGGAAAACTTGATGCCTTGAGGTAGTATGGGAAGTATACTTTATCAGCTGCCGGCTCGTGAGACAATCAAGTGCTACGAGACGCCAATAGGCAGGAAAAAGTGTTCCCCGCTCGCGGACATGGCTACTAGCGGCACTGACATACTCAAGTTCAAATGCACGTATACACCCAATACTGCAGACGGAGAGAAACCACTGCCGCTGCAGTTCAGTTGGTATAGCATCAGATGCATTATTCGAAGGCTGCAGGTTCGGTACTTGCCAGAGGCAAGTTCTTTTGGTCCACTTTTCTTTGCGATTACATAACGATTACTAAAAACAACATCTTTTATACTTTACTTGGCATCATTATTGTCAGTTAGTTCTCATTCTATTGTGTCTAACAAAGAAAATGTGCCCTTCAATTTTCACTTCTTTATTCATTCGTAAGAAAAATTAATCATGCATAGAAATACAGCAATATTAGCCATATTAGCCTATAGTACATCTTCCAAGTGGCTAGGACAGCGTAAGGTGGAACAAGAGTGACAGAAATTTTTAGCGGTATATCGTAAGTGAAATAAAAAATGAGTCAAGATAAACTAAGTCTAGCCGTTATTTCAGGTGTAACCAATAAAAATATAGCACTAGCCTGCCACCTTGCACGAAGGGGAAAGTATTCACAGACAGACAGAAACACTTTATTAACAAGTGCGAACAATCCCCAAGAACAATATGAAGTGCACTCTAGCAAATATTGTTGCTTCTTAAAAAAAATAGGTACTTTCCTCAAACAGTCAAGGCATTCAGCAAATGCTTTTATTTGCAAGAAACGAACAAATTTATTTTCTTGCTCGTGGCTTGTCCTATGTCGGCGGCGTGTACACCAGTGTTAACTGTGCACTTCTGCGATCGGGCTCAAGGCTGTCTCTCCGATGATTCCAAAAATGCTCACTAGAAGGCGCGCCGCCACCCAAGTATTGATGGTGGATTGATGGCATTTAGATGATCACAAAGACCAGGCGGTCTCAATGCAGGGCAAAGAAATACCGAGAGAACGCGAGTACAAGTACCTCAAAATATGGGTAAAGGAGGGATATAGATATATGGAAGTACAGGAAAAAACAACGGTAGCAAAGGGAAAGAGGGATGCTGCAATAATAAAGCACAGAGCGTCACGGGGGTATAATAGGTACGAAGTGCTTTGAGGTCTGTGGAAAGGCTTAATGGTTCCAGGGCTTACATTTGAGAACTCAGCGGCGTGCATGAAGTCAGAGGTGCAATCAAGAATGGACGTAAATCAAAGAGACATCTCGTGTTGGGCGCTCACGGGAAGGCGACGAATGAGGCTGTGAAGGGGCATATGGGATGGACAGGCTTTGAAGAAAAGGAAGCTCAGAGCAAAATGAGATTTGGAGAGGTTTAGGAAAATGAAGGAGAGTAGATAGGCAGGGAAGGTGTTCAGATATTTGTATAGGACGTGCATAGGCACAAAGTGGAGAAAAAAGAACTAGGAGGGTCACCAGTAAATATATGGCTGGAAGTGTGGACGACACGGCAACAAAAAGCAATAAGCGAAAAGTCAGAGAGGCTGAGAGAATTTATTGGATGACAGTGACGGAAAAGAAGCCAGCCTTCAGTAAGTACCGAAAAGGCGAAAACGAAATAAGGTGGGAGAGGTTTTATGATAACTCAAGGGGAAGAAGCGGGTTACTGTTCGAAGCGGCGTCGGGTTGCCTTAGAACGCGTAGCCATAAAGCGAGATTCAGTAAAGAAGAAAAACAATGCAGATGTTGTGGGGGAGTTAAGGAAACGATGGAACATGTTCCGATTAAATGTGGCGATATCCAGCCAGGTATACGTGTGGGTACAAGCCTACATGAGGCTTTGGGTTTTAGGCACAAACATGAAAAGCTGGACAAGTCTGCGATAGAAGCAAGTAAGAGACGGTTAGAGTATTGGTGGCAGAAATAAAGATAAGGGACAGAAATAGTAGGAAAATGAGGTCACTCTGCCTGAAGAGGCAGAGATAGAACATAAATTAATTTTTTTTGTTATAGTAAGATCGATTTAATTGAAGTAGATAAGACATTAGGCCAACATAAAAACAAAACTTTATTTTCATTTTTTCTTGTGAGCCTGGTGGCACACATTTTTTCTTGCAAGCCTAGTGGCACATGCCTTCACGGCTTATTAAAAAAAAGCGCAATTCCAAGGCTTACTCCAATGCCTGAGAGAGCTAATCATTTTTAAAGACAATAAGTCTTTTTTGGGGTACTTCAACGCAAAAATTTTGATGTCTGTACATTTGTACGTTTGTACGCTTTAACGATACCCCAGACGGCCAACCCCCTCTGCAGCACCCACCAATATTGCTCAAGTTTCAGCGTTCATAATTATGCGATTGTCAATTAAAAATCAATTATTGTGCATATTTGAGGCATCATAACAACACGTCAATATTTTGTATGTGTGTCTTTATACTAGAGAAGGCACACATAAGCAATTCCAAGGACCGTAGCGTTTATCACGCTAGGCTGACAATGCAACGCGATGCTCAAAAAGGCAAGTGTTTCCAATGCTTTGCTAAGACAACATGGTGGTGGCACCTGCCAGATGCCTTGCATTCTACACCTTATCACCACCGAAACAGGCGCGCACACCTTCCTTCGTTTTCGAAGATAACTGCCAGATAGCGCTCGTGTCTAACGTGCCTCGATGCGCTCGTTCACCTTCGCTGCACGGATCGAGACTCTCTAACGCAGCGCCTCCAGAATACAATTCACCGATTTTCTCGTGCGGAACATCAAATGAACGTTTTGTTCACTCTCTCCAGACGGAAGACTATTGTCTTTCGACGACATTTGCAGTGAAACATGCAGATACAGGGTCAATTTCTTTCTCGGTAAGCCACTCCAAAACATAACTGATGAAGTGGCGTTGAAGGCAAGTTCCCGCGTTTCACAGCTGCGGCTGATTTACGACGGTTTTCATCAACAAAAAATTGACAAAAAGAGAAAAAAAAGACCTGGCACATCTTGTGCCTTTTCAGCGAAAACACAGCGAAAACACAGCAGAAACTGCGCAGCGGTTTTGCCTACCAAGCGAAACCAAATGCCCGTCAACAGCACTACGATGTCCGCGCCCCTGAGCAGGCACCAAGGCACTCTAGTTTGCTTACACATGGCCTACGAGACAACAGGCGCGCGGCGGGTTTCTCCGCACGCCTGCCATCTCGCAGGCCATGGCTTACATTTAACGGCGCCCCCTGCCAACACGCCTGGATGCGGTCATCGATCTGCATCCGATGATTTAGAGAAAATATGCTACTTCCCTAGTCACTGCCACACTGGCAGAACTCAAACTTGTTCACGAACCTTCGAAGAATTACATTTTCGTCTTTTTATTTTTTTCTGAATGGAGTTGTTACTGGGCACGCGCATGCCACTCTCGTGCACAAAAGGGACGCCAACGTATATATATATTTTTTGAGCAAAATGCCCAATTTCAGTGCGCTTAAATTATTTTTGCGGTGCCGTCTGTTGAAGCCAAAAAGAAAAGAGCAAAATGATTCGAGCAGGTAAACTATTTGGCACCTCCAAATGCTTCTTTTAGCATGGACGAGCCCAGCTGGTCATAGGTAAGGAAAGGGTTAATGCTGTATCTATTTCCCCCCTCCCCCCAACAATTAAGGAATAACGGCGATAAGCTTTTTCTTATTATTACTTTTCGCAACCATGCGGCCATTCCCGTTGTACATAATGCCTTCAAACGGGCAATAAACCTGATTGATATGTGGGGTTTAACGTCCCAAAACCACCATATGATTATGAGAGACGCCGTAGTGGAGGGCTCTGGAAATTTCGACAACCTGGGGTTCTTTAACGTGCACCCAAATTTGAGCATATGAGCCTGCAACATTCCTGCCTCCACCAGAAATGCAGCCGCCTCAGCCCGGATTCCAACTGGCGACCTGCGGGTCAGCAGCTGAGTACCTTAGCCACTAAGCCACCGTGGCGGGGCAACGGGCAATAAACCTGTTAAAGTTCCATGGAAAAGCAGTAACTGCATATTAAAATGTTATAATTAAGTTAAATTGCATTACACATTAATTCAAAGTAATTATTCTTAGTTAAGGCGAGTACTATGCTCAAATAGTTTATCAATTTTATTTCAAAAAATGAATTCTATGCACAAGTATAGAGTAAAAATGCTGGGCATTTTCTCGCAATTTTTCTCAAGGAGTAGCTGCTCAGGGCCACTACACTGCAGCGTTTTAAGCGTTCGGCTACAGTTGCCACTGCCAGGCGAGGATGATGTATAAACCTAAAAGACGTGTAGCCTGCGAGTAAAAGCTGGCATTCATTTTGTGCTTTGGTGCTGCAGGCAGGCACTAGTTTAACACTGAAGAAAAGAAACGGCGCCCACCAACAGCAAACGAGTGGTCGCGCGCTCGCTTTCAGGACTAAAAACGGCGGCTTGCAGTTACGTAACGGAGTGCTGCCTAAAAATAACATAGCTTTTTTTCCCCCCAATATGTACCTATGACCCACTTATCACTGCTCGAAACAGGGTTTGCACGAGTGCGCCGCGGCTATTTATTTAGAGGAGTTTTTAGAGCCCCAAGTCTATGTTTCAAATAGCACCGAGCATTGGCATGAGCAGTTCAGGGGGGCAAGGTAAACACAGCTGGTCACATGACCACGCGAAAGTGTAGCGTGAACGTCACACGCGAGAGTGTGCGCCGCACTGGCAGCCAGCACATGCAAAGCCGCAGGCACGGAGGAGGAAATTGCACGTAGCGCATATACTGTCTGACAAATATAGTACTTAAAAAAAGTGCCCGCGCGAGGTGCGTGCCAGCATTCAGCGAACACAAACACATGACATATTTTTGTTTACATAGCCGCCGCGAGGGGCTCCGCATCTCACTCAGCCGCACACATTAAAATTGATTTCAAATATGTTCTAGGCTATATTTGTCCTCGGTATCTCGTAGATGTTGTTATGTCTCCACACAAATTTATCACGCTCATTATCTCGCCTTTGAAATTTTGTGTCAGTGCTCCTTTAAACGGAGCGCACTCGAAGCGCCACAAAGTTCTTTTAAATGGGGACACCGTGCTACACTGCAAAGCTACACTGCAGCGAGAAGCAGCCGGCCGGAACTAAGAGTTGCCAGCAGTAGCCAGCAGCAACCATCTACACCACCATGTTATGCGGAAAGGAAGCCACAAGACATTGAAGCGAGGCCATAGCGGTGCCAACGCCGCGAACGGCGCTGCCCTCTTCTGCAAAAGGCAGAAAGTTGAGGGGCATTGAGTTCAACAAATATTGCGATCGTTGTATCTCCGGTTCTACTTCAGTTTTTCGATAAATTCTTTCGGCCATCTGGGAGTCGTCACACTCATTCCAGGATGTCTTCAAAGCCAAGTGCGAGGAATGGTTAATGAAAAGCCGGCTTTTATACTTTAAGTATAGCAAATTGTAAAACATAACATATTTTACAGATTATAGCTTGCATTTCACTAGAAGTCAGATGCTGCATCTAATCAAAGTTGCTTCCATTTCCTCTGAACCAAAAAGAATGGCGTTTGTACTTTCCTTGTTTCAAATTAAAATATGTATAGACTGTGCAGGTTAACTGGGTCATGACAAATATATTCTCATTTTTCTTTATAATTTGTGATATATACTCTTCAAATTTGATTAAAAATTATTTTATTCAAATCGTTATTCATTTCGAACCTAATATTTGGTACGAGGTACACCCTATGCCTCGGACCAAAGTACGCGGTGGCACCTTCAAGAACACCGCACAAGCTCCTCACTCTGGTCAGGCAAGTCGCCCGTCGTGCTCCTGACTCTGAATGCGATAGATGTGTTGCCCAAGGCGTGCAGGTGCTCTCAAGATGTAAGCCTTCGAACAAAGTTGTCAATAGTTGTCAATACAGGAAGCACTGTCGGGTACCTAAAGGCACATTCCTTGTCACTTCTGCCGGCTGACAAGGAAGGTGGTTTTGCGGTTCTTCCTCGTTCAATGTTTAAGGTAAAAGCTATGCAGGCAATGCAGTCTCTTTTCAACGAGAATGATGAGATTGGTCTGGATAAGCTTAAGAAGCGTGCGAAAACTCTTACCGGGACCCTGGGGTTTCAAAAGCTTTCAAAGGCAATAGATAATTGCAAAAAGCTTAGCCTTGACCTGTTCTTTTCTGCGAAAACTCACAAAATTGACTGCCCATTGCGGGTCATTGTAACAGAAAGGGGGACCTGGCAAAAGTCTGTTGCACTTTTCTTGCAGGAAAAGCTAAAACATATAACAATAGACGATCCTTTTTTGGTCAAGAACTCTGACGCTGTTATTGACATTATTGGGCGAACTAACACAGGACTCCAGGCAATGTCTGTGGATATTAAGGACTTGTATTACTCTTTGCCACATGAACAACTACTTAAATGTGTAGAGGAATCCATAGACAGGTTAGGATCATCAGCGTTCCAAACGCGTACTGGAATTCATAACAGCAGCTTATTAGAATTACTCAGCTTTTATTTGAAGGCCACTTTTGTATCATGCGAAGACAAAAACTACTTACAAAAAAGTGGAATATGTATTGGTTCATGTTTGGCATCCATTCTCAGTGACATATTTCTAGCACATCATGATCGTGTCTTGTCAAACAAGCTTGACGACTCTGTAGTTTAAAATTTGCCATTTTGTTGATGATTATTTAGTGTTGAAATGCGATAGTCAAAATTTTCAGACCATTTTCTCTGACGTGTTGACTGTTTTCCGAGAGTGCCTGAAACCACTAGTTCTAACCCATGAATCACCCACTCACCCAATCAACAACCTGAAGTTTCTAGATTTGAAGCTTTTGCTAGAATCCCGACATGTTTGCTGGATGTATGAACCAAGAAGCGGCAAGCCACTTCTGCCTTTCAGCTCAGCTCACTCTAAATTGGTCAAGCGGGGCATCGCTAACCTGTGCCTTGTCAATGCCTTAAAGAAGTCCTGCCCCCACATGGTACACCACAGCTTTGCTCTACAAGTAGAGCGGCTTACCAAAGCTGGTTACCCCGCGCATGTTCTCGTTTCGGTGGCGGAAAAGCTGGTCACTGTCTTGAAGCGAGGCGACAAACCAGATAAGCGAAACAGTGTCAGAAAGAGCTGGCCTGTCGTACTGCCTTACGTGAACGACGTATCACACAGGCTAAAAAAGATTCCTCGAGATGCCAACGGTTTTGTGGTTTTATCTGCACCGGAAAAATTGCAGAGGCTTTGCAAACGGGTCAATGCAGCTCGTGCAATTCTACCTCGTGCTCTGTTGCGCACAGGACACGCTACGTCCCATGCGCAGTGGGAGTCGTATACTTGATTCCACTGACGTGTGGGTGCATCTATGTCGGGCAAACCGGCAGGTGCATAAATGACCGCCTCCGAGAACACCGAAACAATGTGCACAATGTGGTACAAGGGCATCTTGGCATTCATTGCCGAGATTGTGGGTGCACCCCCCTCTTTGATCAGTGCTCAATATTGGCAAGGCACAGGGACCAGCTTACCCGAGAAATTATCGACGCCGAAAAAATACACTTGCTAGGAGATAAATGTGTAAGCACATCATCGATTGCTTTATCACAGGCTGACCGTGATTACCTGGCTGGGCTTTGAGGCAATAGAGGACCCGTCACCCATGTTTTGTTACTGATGTGTAGATTAGGCTTGCATTTTACCTTCATGCTCTGTTATCATCCTTTTTAGCAGTATATATTCTTGCCACTCTGTGAAATAAAGTTAGTTGGAAGTCAGCGCTCTTTCTGTCTACCCTGTCCTTTTTCCTTTGTTCGCGCGCTGAAACATCTTGCAAATATGACTACGCACCAACTAGCCCAAACTTCCACTCTTGTAAGATTTACTACGTGCACCAGTCAAGGTGTAATACTTTCGTGTATAGCCGCCTAAGAATTACGCGCCTGACGTTCTTACCAAGTGAACTGTAGCGTTGGTCGTCTCCTAGTCCACTTATTGGGTATCAGCATCGGACATGTAACAGTCGTTGCATGCTCAGTCTCTCCTGCCAGCAGGTTAGAGAACTTTTTGTCCTCTTCCCTTTTTTCATATCCATGTCACAATTACTACTGCACAGTTAACATCCTCTATTCATTACTTTGCTTCATCTGCTGGGTTGTGTGGAAAAATGAAACGAGCACTCACTATTCTTTTCCTTCCTACAATATAGCTCAGTGAGCCAGTACACACAACTAAGGAACATGACACAAGTTAAACAACAGTTGTAGGGCATGCATAAGTTCCCCCCAAAAAAGAAACTCAATAAACAACAAGGCATAATTTTAAGGGGCATACTTTGCCACTTTTATATATACAAAAAGAAATTTTACAAGCACCGAGTAAAAGTTCAGTTCAGTCTCGTTTCACCTCGAGGTTGGCAATGGCCGAACACACAGCCTCCAAAATTTTCTCACCCACCTCCAGTACTCTATCGCTAGGGCTCTCGTGTTGCGACGTTGATGCGCCATCGTCGAGCATCGCTTTGACCACATCACCCTTCATCACGATCTTGCCGCTGGCGAGATCGAGCTCGCCGATTCTCGAGCACACGGCTCCAGCAAACTGGTCCCCGGATTCGCACGGCTGCGAAGTCGACGGACCGGCAGCACCCAGCACAGCCTCAAGAACATCTACCGGCTTCTCGGTTGACTCGTCGTAAACGATGTCTAGCACACCGACGCCGGGGCCCAGGGTCTCCTCAAGTAAGTTGGCGGCTGTAGCTCCCAGCGAAGTGGACGCGCCATCGTTGAGCGCAGTCTTGGCCAGCTCGTTACGCCTTTTCATGTCATTGGCAAGCTTGTACGGAGGATCTATTGGCGGCTGCACGGGCTTGCAGAATTTGTAAGCCTTATCCTTATTGAGCTGCATAAAAGAAATAACACTTTATGCATTTCATGCGCGCCTTAACTTGAGATTTCGTCAAAATAGGAATCGCAGGAATATACTGGAAATTTACGAGGCAACTGGCAATCTGGTTTGATAAAATATATAATGTGAGGTACATCGTCAGTGCGAGAGATGAAAGTTCAGTTTCCCACTATGGAATAAATTAGTCGAAGGGCTCAGACTAAGCTGTCTTCGTTAGTGTACTTGAGAAATAGCATGAAGCAGGCAATTAGAACTGTTAGTGCAGTAACGAGAGTTGGTAAAAGAAACGTACTTGCGAGAAAGTTTTATGCTGGGCCACACGTCGAATTCCTTTGAGGAGAGGACTGGAATGACGAGCTTGATACGGTTTTGTACATTGTGTTTCTTCATCATGACAAAGGCTTCATGTTACAGCCCTGCTACAATTACAGCACGAAAACCACATGACTTTTTGCCTTCGTGTTTTTTTTTTTGAAACCCCCTATATTTCTCAAAGCCTACCCTTTAATAGGAAACAAATTTGTCTACTAACTTTGTTAATGCTTCTTAATGGGCTGGTTTATACTGATGCATACTGAAACAAACAACAGTGCAGAAATACCGGGACGGATGGGCATACACAAACGAGCGCTGTGTGTGTCTACTTGCCTGTCTTCTCGCGCTGCTTTATGTTTCAATCAGGCACCAAGCTATTAAGTGGCATGCAAAAAACCTTTCAACGAATGATGAGATGGGAGACACTGCGTACGTAAAGCCAATTCCAGTAAACGAAAAGACGAAGGCGAGCTAACAGTATTGATATTCGAACAGTGGGTCTAGCGGTCCAATCCAATGCAGCTGCAGGAGTTCACAGTACAAGCAAGTACATCCAAGGGGGCATCAGTGTGACAATGCAGTTGGGCATGTGCATGGCTGTTTGTGGAGTAAGCACTTTTTTTGTGGAGTAAGCACTTTTTTTGTGCGCAAAACAGTACGAAAAAACACATGCCTGTTTTGCCCCTTCTCGTGATTTGGTGAGGGACACACCTGGTACAACCACTACCAGAGGCAAAAGAGCGATTCGGGATGTTGCTGTTCGTTCATCTACGGTGTAAGAAAAAATAATTTAAATGGGGAGACTCTGCGCCTACCACAACGAAGACTGCATCTAGATAATGTCTGGCTTTCAGTACAGGCACCGGCCGCAGTATCGAGGCACAAAAGTGAAGGGGTGCTGCGACATAGGGGCTTAAGGGGACCGAGCGCGTCGATGCAAACACGTGTTCCGCCTTTTTGCTCTCATTATATTTTCCTTAAGGCACCGTGCACGCTAGTAATTAAAGTGAGGAATGCATGCCGCTTTTTTTGCGAGTGAGAAACACCACGTGCAGCGAACGCTGCAGTTGCCTTCACGGTGTTTTCTCACACGGAACGCTGTTACGGACCCTACATACGCAGCTCATCCTCTACGGCTGCAGTTGCGTGGGTGGGCGCCGCGACGAGAGGGCCGATTGTAATCAGGATGCACCTAGGGGCGGAGTGTCCACAGCTAAATTGTCTTACATCGTGATTCATCTTATGCAAAAAAAAAAATGAAGCACACTAACAAACAGGGACAAAGGATGAAAATATGACACAGAGGCACACTCGCAACTGGATGTTTGTTGATGAGGAAACACCAATACACTCAAACCTCGATATAACAAAACCGGATATAACGAAATATCGGTTATAAAGAAGTAAACTAAAGATATTTTTGCAATAGATATAGTGTTAGAAATAAACCTTTATAACAAATTTTCAGATATAACGAACTTATTTCGTGTGAGATGCAACTTTGCTATAATGAGGTTTGACTGTATAGTTTCACATGTCAAGCACGTATTAAAATTTCCTTCACCTTCAGACAGAAAGACTTTCCACATTAGGCTAATTCTTGTGAAGGTAAACACATGAAAAAAAAGAGAGGAAAGGGAAGGTAGGACAAAGAAGTTCGCACAGCTTGTTGATTAAATAGGAGTATACTCCTTTGCTAAGGGAACAGACAGGGGGCTGACAGACCGATCACCAAACCTACAATGAAAAGGTTTTATTACTTCATAGGTGGTTTTCTCGCAAAGTTCACATAATTCGATTACATCCATGAAATGGGGGGAGCAGCCCAGCAATGTACGAAGTGATACAAGCCATGCCCCAACGGCAGTTGTTGATAGCAGGCGCTTAAATGCAGCTGCGCCACTGCTCAATATGTGAAACACTGCCGGAAAATGGGAATCCTAACGCAATTCGGTTTGTTGCTTCAGGTACTCTGGCTAAGAGTCGCCAGATGTCGAGGCAGCTCACAATCAGAGCACAAGAGGCAGCATAACAATTGAATACATTGGTGATATTGGAGCAGCATGCCTGTTGCGCCACCGTGCAGCCAGCGTGAAAAGCCGCCGTGTAAACATTCGTGCCGATCTGTCAAGCGGCCATCTCCAACATGTCTGGACGCCTAGCACATAAATCTTGCAACTGTCCTCGTACGAGCTGCTAGCTTCAAGGAATTCGTCATAAGCTGCTGTAACAACAGCATAGCCAATTCCTCCACCTTCACTAGCTGCTTACTTTTTGACATGGTGGATTTATGGCTACGCAGATGTGAACTCGCCATGTACACGGTCAAAAAACCTCACGAACACACGTGCACTAAGTATTATGCGTCCAGTGATGTCTCCTTCTGAAATGTGCACTTGCGCTGTCAGCTGCTAGCAATGCTTGTGTCAGCTGATGAGTCTTCCCGGCTAGATCGTGCCATGCTCTCACTTCAAAGTCGGAGCAGTTCAATGTGCTCTGTGTCCGAGTCTGGTTGCCCGACAGAGCCAACTGAAGGTAGTTTGAACGCTCACACTCTACCGACCAAAAGCCCGGCCACTTTACAAAGCCTTCCAGAGCTCACTTCGAAGTCAGAGCGGTTGAGTGTGCTCCGCGTCCGAGTCTGACGCTCCGAAAGAACTGACCGAAGGTAGTTCCAGCGCTCACACTCTGCCAACCAAACGCACGGCCACTTTTAAGAGCACTCTAGAGCGATCGTAAACTCCAAACCGAATATGCTATAGTGATGCCCAGTTTCTGCATCAAAAACGGTGCCGAAAACGGGCGGCTTGTGGCATAAGTCACGGTAAACGTTGGCATAAACCATTTGTCTGCCACATTTGTTGCAAAAATGAAGGTAGCCTAGCTATGGCATATACAGCGTAGCAGATAGGCCAATTCAAAGGTGAATGGACAAAGCCATTTAACGTGCGCATGCTTTGGAATAGACTATGGGAGGACGGCTCTGCACTTGAGCAAGCATGGTGCTCAAATTACACTGTGCAGATGTTCCCCGCAAACAAGGCTCACAACAAAAGTGATTCCACGTTTTTCCCTCCCCAATCATGAAAATATTAAAGCCTTTGAAAAACGGCCAATGTTCACTCACCTCAAGAGGGTACGTCCTGTCCGAGTCAAATCCATCGAGATCTCCACAGATCACAAAAGGAACCATGGTTCTGTTTGGCTCTTCAGTTGTAACTTTTACTGTAAATCATCAGGACAAGAAAAAAATTTACACTGCAGAAAGTACAGCTGCCATGGTGTTGGTTAACATAAAACATACCCATTGAAGCCGTCACAAATACATTAAATAAGCAAGCAAGATTGCATCTCACTAGGTTACCAGCAGGAGATCTGCTACTTCGTTCTGGACTCGCTCGTCAATTGTGACGATAAAGTTACGCAACGGCGATGGGCAGATCTGGGACATGTGAAAAGCTTGCCACTCTGAATGTGTTAAAATCGGTGTCCCTGAGCCACAGTAAGAAACTAATAAACTGCGGCGGTTGCTACGTCGCCAGGTCGACGGAGGCAAACTTGGGAAAGAACAGTAGTCACGATGGAGACCACAAGTGGGCAAAACAGAACAAATGCCGGTGTGAAGGCCGAATTTTTTAACGATAGCACAGTCACCGAAATCTGATTTACGAGCGTAATAAGCTGGCTATCAGTAATACTATAGGTCACGGTAAAGACCATAGCCCAATCATTGATGTCTTTCACTTTTTGCCTTCTGTAAGCCATGAAATTATGACTGTTGAAAACTTTTGAGAAGGTCTTGATACATCAAGGAGCGCCTTGTTCCATGTGGCAACACATACCAGTTTTGAGTCAATGAAACACCTTTAAAGTAAAAGAAAAGTTGGCGTGTCCACAAAAAACTTTTCAATTTATCAAGGAACTTGCCAAACCTGTGGCATCACAGAAAATAAACTTGTTCACCACACTAACTCCGTCCTATAAATACATTGTAGCTAAGTAAGGTGTGACAGACAAAACTGCACAAGAAACCTCCAGTTCTGTTACATTGTTATTCGCTAGCATTCCTCCTGGCACTATTATAGCACCGATTCACGATGAACTAAATACTCTAAAGTCATGCAAGTCAGCCTGTTTTAAGTGATTAAAATCATGATAGCAAAAAAAAAAGGCGCTCAATATATGTGTTTTTAATATAGGGTCATACTTTGGCGCCCAATTCCCGCGTCAAATTTTGTATATGTCTACTTAAACCATCGTCAACCTAGTTTACTGCAAGACAAAGCGCTCACCCAATTGTCTTCGATCCTCCCTATCATGAAATAGCAGATTAGATTACGTTTCGCGCTGAGGAATTTAAGATCTTAGACTTCAGCTCCATCTAAACATTTGCTGTCCTCGGCCATACTTCCAATCTCTTCGTATCCATTCCGTCACTCCTACCAACTATCAATTCTTTCCTTCTCATGACGTTATTTGTCCAGGTGAATTTTTTTACCACATTGATATTGCATAGCCAATATTCTTTTTGCCACACTTTGCTGTCATCATATCTCTCACTAGAGTTAAGCTTGCGATTTTTGATACCATAGCATGCTCTGTGATGCAAAACTTATCACGCTTTGTGTCATTCTTAATGTTCCTGCCACATACAGTATTTACATGATTGTAGGTCAACCCATTTTATCTCAATGTGAAATCTGAAAATGGTGGGTCGACTTACAATCAAACCCAAGATTTGTCGAAGGTTGACTTACAACTTGAAACAAACAAGAAATCATGAACGCTGTGGCATAGTTACCACATTATGTTTACGTTCCGATTCTATCTACATTGCATCTTATCATTTACAAGACGAACTCTCTGCAACGATGAAGGAAAAAAAGAAAAGAAAAACTGATTAATTCCTCAAAGCCACCTTTCCTGCACACCTTTTGAAGCACTGCTGTGAAGCCACTTCCGCACACCAGAATTAATTTTTCATTTTTTTTTCCAGCTACATTGTAAATAATTTTTTTTCGAAATTTGCTTTCTTTTTTTTTCTTGGAAGTTTAGGGGAATCGACCTAAATTCGAGTCAACTTACAATTGTCTAAATACAATACGCTAGAATTCAATGAAATGCCCACTAACAGCACTGAACAAAATTTTCCTTTTGAAAACGCCAAGCATAATGACACATATAGTACCATTCATTGCAGCACAAAAAATGCACTCACAATCTTCCATGGAGCCAGAAAACGTGAATGGCTTGTAACCTTCGGGTGGAGAGTAGCGGCGACAGACAACGAAGGACTCTGAAAATGCAAAAGGCCAAACCAATGACGCATCAGGGGCAACTAAACTGCCAGAAGATGTAGCACTGAAAAGCTCACAAAAAGTCATGTCAGGAAAGCAATAATTCAACAGATATTAATTATTGTGATCTAAGTAAATAAGACGCAAAACAAACGAGCCACACACAACAAACAAGCCTTTAGGGCAAACTAGTTTTTTTGATAACACCTTGTCTTTCTATTCATTTGTTGTTAGTCCTATTAATTTAAAGCCTAGGAAAAAAATCCATGAGGTGTTGCTATGACAAAGAAATTACTTACTGTCCTTTGACATCAATAAGTTACACATATGCACTCTAGTAAGCAGAAGCACCAAGAGCTGCTCATGCACTACCCTGGTCAAAGATGCATATAATGAAATGAAATGAACAGATTTTATTTCTGGAGAGAATACAGAAACGAAGCTAAAGGCCATTCGGCCTGACGTGGCTTCGCTACGCGAAAAAAGTTCAGCAAACAGTGCTACATTGAATAATAATTATCACAATACAAGGAGCAGCATAATAACAAACACAGAAATAGCATAAAAGCAAAAATAGGTGACATATAAGTACAAAAAATAGGCTGCATAGACACACAGAATCAGACATAATAATGACAATACAATAAAAAGGCATAAATAAATCACTCAATTATGAATAAATACAATGAATAGGCACCAAAAAAAAGCCTATACAATACACTCAAACCTCATCATAACAAATTTGCATGTCACATAAAAATAAGCTCAGTATATCCTAAAATTCTTTATAGAGGTTCATTCCTAGCACTATATCTATTGCAAGAATATCATTTGCTTCGTTATGGCCATATTTCATTAAATACCGGTTTGTTACACCGGGGTATGAGTATATATGTCTGAGATTGATAATAAACCTAAGCAGGCATGGTAAGCTTTTGTGTGTGTGTGTGTTCAGGAGTGTATTTCTCTATGTTGTACCATAACTTTGCCAGTGAAAGGACAAGTGCCAAACAAAGATGAAATGCGAACTGCACAGATCACCGACTGTCTGACACACGTAGTTCCGCTAGCTACGGTAGTCCATGCCCACCCTTTGTTTGTCGCACAATGAACAAACCAAGTCGAGGCACTCTTAGAAACTGCAAAATTGAATGCGTTGACAAAACCTCGGCGAACGGCGTCACGAAAAATCAGGATTTACAGCAACCAGTGCTGCTATACAGGGCAAGAAAAAAGAACACCGAGACATTGCACCAAAAAATTCTGTTAGGTCAACCGTGGGCCTCTGTATTATATTCCATTTTGTAAGAGCTGGCTACCATGATCGTGAACTAAGCAGCCCACGAGTTGATCCTTGCAAAGTTTACAACTAGAAATACTTGCTAATCTAGTGACCTCAAAATTCGAGATATTTGTCAGAACTGAAGGTAGAAGGGAAGACGCCACGGAAGAAAACTGGTGTGCGCTTTAATTTACCTTTTCTTAGTGCAACAGAGACGCAAAACGAATGACTGCCGGTAAAGTTTGTAAACACCAGCCTATTAAGGGGAGATGCTCCCCGAAAAACTTCTTCTTCAGATATTGGTGACAGCTCAATGAAACTTTCACCAGTTATTCAGTTCGAACTCCTCTTTTCAAATCTGCTTTTTTTTTATGGCTCATTTAGTTAATTTTTTGCAGACCTTGCATATTCAAAAACAATGCATTTTTGTGCAAGCTTAGGCACCAATAGTAAGCACAAGAAAGCTCTTAAAGATAGCAAATGTTGCTTCTAATGAATTGGAGAATTCAATAAAGCAAAAAACATTGTGTAACATTTGTGTGCTGGCCTAGAAAAAAATTCTAATGCTGAGTTTTAGTTATACCGTAATCAAGGAACAAGCTTCAGAAATTATCTAGCTGAATATGCTTTGGAGACTTCTGAAAGTTGTTTATTTGAATTCGGGACATGTTAAACTTTAAGCATGCCAAGTTTCATTGCAATCCGACTACATAAAGCATACAAATTACTTGCACAAGCTTTAAAAATGCCAAAAAATGAGGAACTGAGAAAAAGAGGTTTGAAAGTTCAAAAACGTGTTTATTGCGCTTATCCACATGACAACGATGTTCGGTGGCGGAAGTGATTTAGGTGTTCCACACACAATCAGAATATCTTAGAACCAATGTCTTGCGCTATCATTATTTTCTTTCCATGGTAACCTAAGCACAGTTTTTCAAGAGACTTGTGGTCATGGCTGTGCGACTTGAAGCATTGTTTAAAATTCTAGAGTGACCCAGGCAAATCAGGAGAGTGTGCGAAGATCGCAAGAAGAGGCAGAGGTGGGAGGGTGTAGGGTTAAACAAAGCAGTGAAACCAGAGCCACTATGGGTAAACCGTACCTATGCTGGAGTTGCGGCTGCTCCGAGGCTTGGCAACAGTCACGTGCTCAAAGAAGAGCTTCAGCTGCGCATACAGCAGGGTCACGTCTTTTCCTCGAAAAATCTGACACGAGAAAAACATACATTCATTCACTGAACGGCGCCCCGAAGCTGTGTAATGGCTATCGATGAGCAACTGCCCTTAATCCCAAAAAAGTTATTGTTCAGCAACGTAGTAGCACTATCCTGGTCAAAGCAATACGCTTCAAAGGGGGAAAAAAAAAACTACAGCAGCCTCACTGTAAAGCACGCAAACAACGCCAGAAAGCACATAGGCAAGCAATGTACTGCAAGAGAAGCTATAGAGACTCATGAGGTGAGATCATAAATTATGAAGGAGTTGACCATGAATTACTCTTTCTTTCGTAGCAAGTACATTGTACGTACCACGGTGGCTCAACAGCTAAGGTGGTGTGAGGCTAAACTCAAGGTTGTGAGTTAGATTCCCCGCCACTGGGGCTGAATTTTGGTAGGACCCACGGGGCCCCTGAATTTTTGGTGCCCATTAGAGAACCACTCGGTGGCCCAAATGTTTCAGATCCTCTCTTCGGCATTTCTCAAAATCATATTGTTATTCTGGCGTGTTTTATCCCAGAGTGTAGTCATATCATTTTACGACATGACCATCATTGTGACGGTGCTCTGGAAGTGAGCGGAATGGCGAATTCAAAGATTAAATCTTCAGTACGTCCCGCTTACCTTGGCTATGTAGGTACCGCCGGTCTTCAAGACATGAGTGGTGATGTTTAGGGCCTGAAACCACAATTTGAAAACAAAGTGTTCAAAGAAAAAAAAAAAAAGAACTGCTAGCAAAAGCATGAAGTTGGACATCCTTTGTGCATAAGTGGGATGCATATATCCCCGTTTTATTCCTGCAGAAAGCTTTTCTCCTATCCACACCATCTCTCACAACATCTCTTGGTGCAACGCTAAGTGGCTGCTACCTTACCTAAGTCTATGTAAGCTAAAAAAAATTGTTTTAGCACAGTGTTGGGAGGCGGCAATCGTGCCTCAATGCCGTTAAATTTTGTTCAAGTTATACGAAAACTTCCGAGCTTCCCCTAATTCAGACTTAAAAAAAAAACTCATTAAAATGCCAAGTAATTTTCTCCTTTTCTGGTTTTCTAGAAAAGTCATTTCAGCTCCCAGTGATCATATGTTTTTGCAAACTTGTGCAGTAACTTGCCTGAGAAATGCACCAAAACACAGCCCTATGCGAAATTGCCACGCTTTTTTCGCTAAGCCTAATTGTGAATAACGGTGCATGACAATAATATTCTTAATATCATAAACCTTTTAAAAAGTAGGCAGATATTCAAAGGAGACATCAGTACTCGACCACTTTCAGAAACAGCAGAAGGGACAGCAAGACAGACAAACAGAAAAAAAAAAAACTGTGTATGCAGTAAAGCAAGCTTTACAGGAACAGACCACAGGCTTATGAAGGCTTGTAAGGTTTATGTGCAGCAGCTGTTCTGCTGCTGAAAATGAGGTGCACACAACTTTCCTCTGCACAACATCACAAGTGCTCTTCTGCACTACTTGTTTCAGCCTTTTCATCCCTAACTCTCGGTGATGTGATCACAGGGCGATACCTTCATGAATGGGACATATGGGTCCCGCTTTTTTCCAGTAATATACTGGCTTTATTTCGATGAAACTTGTTTTATAATATGTCTCTGCAGTCCATATGCATATACCAAAGCCGTTTTTTAAATCATGTCAAAAATATAGACTAACCTACAAAGGGTTAGGCACACCTAAAAAACACACAAGAAATAATAAAAAAAAGTGTAACTGCAACAATCTGACAAAGAGCATATCGAAAGCTTTTTGCATTCGGTGCAAGTGAGAAGGTGTAATCACAATTATTGCGTGTATTGTGCTAAGGCTCTTGTCAAGCAGTTTCAAACAAGTACTAGGTGGAAGAGACACTGATAAGATGAAATGTCACAGTCTGCCATGAAAATTTGACCACTATTATGGCCGGAAACTAGGTGTGAGACTACATATGTATCTACTTTCTACTTCCATCCTAATGCCAAAGTTCGTACCAAGTTCTTTAAGCCTAGTACCTAATCGCAGTCTCTTAGGTTTATGGGCGAGGCAAATTGCAGTAGGCAGTGTCTTCAGCAATGTACATTTAACTCTTCGCTGACAGTGAATATTAACTACACCACGGCAGATGCCTTTGGGACATGCGACGGTACTGACCGATAGAAGCAGCTCTGCTTGGATGTATTCGTCGATGTCGTGGAGGCCAGTTACTGAAAAACAGCAAAATGATCAACAAATGTTGCACAAGGAAAGCATGAACTCACAGTCACAAACTCTCTTTAAACTCTGTTTGAGTTAGCACTTAAAGGTGATCATGTAACAGAGTTCTGTCTGGTTGGGAAGCACAACACAATAGTATTAGGAGTGAAATCTTCTACTTAAAATTTTTTACCTATTACATTACATTGTTTGGTGTCACTAGTTAGCACTGTAATCAACGATACGAGCATAACTGTAACAAGTGGTTACAATCATAACGTCCAGTGGTGAAGTTTCCTTAATGATCAAACAAAAGTGCAGAGAAGCCTTACTGAGAAACAATTGCAGAATAAAACTGTACACTTATTAAATGTGAAAACAGAGTGCAATAAGCTTATTGTCTTACAAGCAACTCTCTGGTAGCTGTAGCTGATGTTTGCTACAGAAGGCCTGTATAGTGGTGCTAAAGTGATGGTGCCACTAATATCTTACATTTTGACTTTCTCACTTTCTGAAAAAATCCCTTCTCTACGATGAGAGGAGCATTCATTCTTTTACAAGACTATTTTATGTATCCAAGGCTCTACTTACCATCGGGTGCACCATCGCAGACGACCAAGTCTGCCTTTTCACCCTCAAAGTGACCGATGATCTTCTGAGCTGTCGTGATCTTGTCCAATGTAATGAAAGGTAATGAAAGAAAGATGTTTGAGTGAAAGACGGACAGACATTTCAATTTGCAGTCATCAGCACACAACATACACATCTCACAATTGTTTTCAGTGGCTTCATCGAATAATTTTTGCCGAATGATTTGTGCTGCCGAAGAGTTGCCAAGAATGACGAACCAATGGTAGTGCAAATTAGACGAAATGATTCACTTCTCGCATCCTCACCTCAGTGATGTCTCCCTGCAGCTGAATGACCCCTGGTAAAGGTGCCATAGCCTGAAGGTCCACAGCAACAATTTTCACGTCATCCGGATTCTGGGCATTGCCTCTGCGAAAGTGGATAAGAAGAGCGAATTAGAAGGGACACTGTTTTTGTTTATATGGTTCTTATAGCAGTTACCCTTATTCACCTTGCATTTATTTCAGGAATTTGCACAAACATACATAGTACACAGTTAGTGGAAGGAACTGCAATATATCGCCATGCTTTTCCCACATGACTTGGAATATACTTGAAGCACAGTGGCAATGGCATTAAGTTGAGCTGCTAGACCTTCTGCACCTCTTTCTTGTAGTTGCTAAACTTCTGCACAAAAGAAAAGGCTAAAAAATCCTGGTTTGAGTGGATCTAGTTTGTAAACATTGAGTAAATCTTCAAACATCAACTATTAAAGGAGCACTGACATAAAACTTACTCATGCCAAGATTTTTGCATCAGCGAGTAGCTATAGACCCTGTAGCAGCGATTCGCGACCTAAAACCCAACTGAGGGATGAATAACTATCACTTTTATTGCTTTATATCACTGGTATCTAGCACTATTCAAAACGGCCGGCAATCCCGCCATTTTTAGCGCTGGGAGCACCAGCAGTGGCGCTACCTCGCGGTCACCTCCAGATTACACCACAGCTGACCACTTCTCCACAGGAAAGAGTGACGTCAGGCTCAGCTGCTTCGCAAACATTTCGTCTGCTAGGCGGACACATTCAGTCATGCCTTGTCAACTGCGTTGCTATCGTCGCTCTACAAAGTGTCGACTCGGGCTCAATACGATAGTCTGGAGCTTGGAATCCCCGCGAGTCGCGACGTCGCGAATTATTTTTGCTTTGATCGACCTTTTGCAGAGCAGTGATTCCGAAATGCACGCCGTTCCAAGCAGCACTGCAGAGGTGCCCGAGGATGCACGCTTCAGCCATGTTCGCTCGTGTGTCTCAGTAAGCTATATTGGTGTGTTTTCGCATACAAAGCATTCAGGTATATGCAGAAGGGTGAACGCAATATAGCAATCGTGAATGAGCATCAGTGGAGAACTAGAATATGTTTCCTGCTTGCCAGGTTCATTTTTGCGCCTCCAGATGACCCCACCTATACAGTCTTTAGCGGTTAACATGGTATTACCACTTTTACGTGGATGCAAAGTCTACAGATGAACTAAAATTCAACAATGCCTGCGCGTTAGTTGTTAGCGATGATATATGACTATACGCTGTTCTACTTTTGATAGCTTGTGGTCCTGTTGATGTGTAACACATAGGTGATATGAAGAGACACCCTCATTGCGCTTTTTCCTTGCTTCGAACTAGACTGCAACTCACCTGCAACTCACAACGATTCCCCCACATGCTGACCGACAAGCACACGTTTAATCATGCTCTTTTCTTTCACCGTTTTTATAAAGGTGGTTTATATCTGGATAATTTCACGAAATCATTCAAACCGGTGCGACGAAGATCAGACGCGACGAGCGAGTGCGTTTCTGAGATTTGGCGCCGATACGATAAGAACACTCGGATCGTACACGTCATCGCTACTAGGACATCGTCACTCAGGATGGTATTTGTGGAATGTATCACACTGAACACGTAGCACTAGTGTCATTGTCGCAGGGCAGTCTATTTTCCGTTTTTTTCTCCTTAACTTTTCTACGCTCTTTGACATCGAATTTAAATAACTTTCTCGCGACAGGTGCCGTTCAAATTTGGCCAAGAAGACCTAAGCATACCAAGCGATCGAATGATGGGCACATCTTGATCTTGAAATTTGATGTCAATGCTCCTTTAAGTGATCCTGATTTCCCATTGCCACACTCGAACACCTACAATACAGTGAACATCTTCAACACGAGGAGAGTGCATTACGTCTTCTTCATGCTTGCAATGTTAACAGGTCAACCCACTCCATGTGCAGAACAACCTGCTCCCTGTTGCAACCTACAAGTTTGAAGTCGTTTATAGGGCCCCACAATTACCTCTGATAATACAGTGAGAAATCCATGTGTTTTCTTTCAAATAGCCCAGTTATTTGTTTCCTAAACGTAATATATATATTAATAGTATATTTCTAGAGAGTTGCATGGGCAAATGCTGTCAGTTTATCCACATTTAATAAACATCAGTTCTAATCAGTATACTAGCATGCCTTTGCCATGCAGTTTCGTGCCATCCTTGCAGTGTCACTTGCCTGTCGTGCACACTAGTGTTTTCCCATAAAATGGTGCGTTTTGTGCAGTGTGAGTGGTGGCAGGTATGCAGCCAAGAAGAACATAGCGAGATGATGGTAGGGCAATCATTCACTCATTCTCTAGTCGTCACCCTTTTTCTTAAAGTAGGGTGCCAACAAGACATTGAGTATTGATGCGACACCTATGTACGGGCTCTGCCCGTTATGTAATGAGACTGGCTCTGTTAAAAAAAGGATTATGCATCTGATTGGAACACAATATTAAAATTCTTCAAGTAGTTTCCCCTGGCATCTATACACCGCTTCCAACGCGATTGCCAAGCTGCTCCCGAAAGTTGGTTGCCAGTAACTCACTTCTGTCAGAGAACGTGTCGACAGCCAGTTGTGTAGATAGAACCGTCGACACGGCCACCTTTACGGTTACTCTTGAACTTTGGGAGGATGAAGAAGCAATCAGGGGCTCATAGCTGGGCTCATGCAGCCCTTGTATAAGCCCCGGAACAGCACTAATGCAACCAAATGCTTACCGGAGCTTTCTCGATAGGACTTGGCTCCAGCTTCCAGGGGCGGCGCACAGGTCGACCGCTTTTGTGACACCTGCATGAAAAAGATTCATGGCGATTGCACTATGTGAAGGTGGGCGACCAGCAAAGCTGCGTTGTGCGTCACAGCGACACCGCTGCAAGCTTCAAACCTTCACATACAAAAAGCATCGCAGCATCGTTTCGTCAAATAGAAAGCAGTCAGAGCAAGTTTAACATGGGGTATGCATCGCTATCAGCAACATCGAGCTCAAGAGCTCAAACATTTAAATATGGCGCCTTGAATTTCATGAAAAAAAAAAAAAGAAATTTAGGAGATGTTAAGAACGAAAGTCAAACTGAACCTGTGAAGATATCGAACTCCTCGTTGATTTGCAGCAGCTTGAACGCGCTTCGCGCACGCCAGCCTTCTTCCTTGGCCAAGCGGTAGTAGACGTCACGCTTGTCCTTCGAGGAACGACCCATTTTATCGCACGTCGGACAGTGTTACGAATTCCAGTAAACGCAGCGAAAACTCCCAGTCGGCGAATGAAAACGACACACATCAACACGCAGCGCGCGTGGTCGCCATGTTGCACAAGATGAACGGAACACAGGAGAGATGAGGTAATGTCTTGCCCTTTGAAGCCGCCGAAGACACTGCACTTTTAAACGACTGAACAACGTACACAAAAAGAAAAAGGAATATTTATGCAACTCTATCAAGTAGCACTTTATTCAGTGCTTAACTAGGAAGGGTTGCTTTAGAATCAGTTTTATTTGACAACACGCCCCTAAAATGTTTGGAACGAACGTGTAAACGCTTCCCTTCTGATCATTTCTCTACTGAAACCACTCTACTACCCTCGCTCTCTCGTCTTGTGCGCATGCGCAATGGAGGAGAGTAGCAGCCAGCCTCTTGCCGCGCGTTCTATTTACGATTTCCGCACGAATCCCGAACAGCGAGCGGGCGCTCCGGCACCCCCGAACTTGCAAAGGACTTAAAAATGGATCCCGAAATGTTTCTCGATGTCGCCAACCAGGTGACAAAGCTCAAAATGTACCCGTATTTCGACATTGCCCACTGTGTAATCACCTGCCTGTACCTGCGCGAGGACTTGGGAGCCGGTAAGCGAAACCCCGGGTCCGCAGCCCGCGGCTCTTGTACCCTTGAGAGAAGAATTCGCAAACAAACAAGTACTAAAAACAAAGCGACCGAGGGTGCTTTTCTAAGCCTCGCAGTTGGCGATCGCGGCCTTTTTTTCTTTTTCTCTCTGGCATTTTGTCGTGCCATGGGAGCGCACGTCACGAAACCGAAAGCTGCTGCGGTAGACGTTTCTTTTTTACGCCAGATCGCGAACTCGCTGATGGGGCTACTACCGCTGTGCGATCGCCCCTGGGCGTAGCGAGTGCTGCGAGCTTCGAGTAAACTTTGGACGAGCATGCGATCCTTTTTTGGGGACCTCGCGGCTCTAGTTAACCACTCGCGGGTCGCGAAAGCACGTTCGCAGGCTTTTTCCTGCGACTGGCGCATGATTGGCATATCGCTGTAGCGTGACCCTGCCGTAGCGAGCGGTCTTTACGCATGAATTACTCGCGAAAGGCGATCGAAGCAAAAAAGGAAGTCGCATACGCGTTGGCATTGTTTCGGATCACAGCTGCGGACAACGTCGACAACACGTAACGATGTCACCTTTCGAACGCGACTAATTGTGCGCTCTTTATATCAGTTTAGTCGTTTATTTATTTATTTTTCGTTTTAATAGTGCCTATTTTCCACGCTTTCCAGCAGGCCTCCGTGCACAAATTCTACAACCATTAGGATACCTGTTAAGTGCAAGCAAGCCCAATGCTATATGTGACGCACCACTGCTCTTGTACTGTGATGCTTATCGGATAACCTTGCACTTTTCACTGCATTACAGGTCTGTCCTTTCCTTGAGCAAATCATAATTGTGCAGAGAAAAATAAAGCTCCTCATTTAGGTGTGCTCTCCTACACCAGTTGCGGCTCTTGAATATATTACTGTAAATGAAACCAGTTGCAGCCTTCAAAAAGACCAGTCCACTTGTCTAAACGTCAGCTTCAGCACGCGCCCTCTATTGACGAATTTTTCATGGCAGGGTTTGATCCTGCCTTTATTTGGAAATATACAACATACAAAGATGCTGGAACATGTGACCTATAAGAAAAAAAAAATACTGAGACTATTTAGGAATCAGCCTGCAGTTTTACTGTGCAAGAAGTAAGTAGCATAAAAATAACATAGTAATGATGATATTTCACCTACATTTTTCACTTGTTCCTTGAGCCACAGGCCCAAGTGGAACTATGCATGTATGTTGTCAGCAGAATCAGATTACCAGGAGCACTGCTGGATCGAATGGAAAAATAGACCGGAGTTCCTCACAATCTCACGCATCCCATTTCATAGGAAAAGTATTCGCTCTGTTCTGATTATTGCCTACTTTTTCCATTTTTGTTTTTTTCCAGATGTTAATTTCTTCTATCCGCATAGGTCAGCAAAACTTGTGGAGCTCACTCACTCATGAAATATATTTTGAGCTCAGACTCGCAAAAATATTTCTGAGTTGGACTCGCTCACACTCATGAAAATTTTCTTCAACCGGACTCACTCCGACTCAAACTCAAGGCTCGATTTGAGTCTGAGTGATTCCGAGTGGGTCAACCCATGAATCCGTCAGCCTAGAGTTAGCTTGTTCGACCGTGGTGTCAATGCTCTTTAACACCAATATCTCGCATAATAGGTGCTCTTTTTGGTGCCGCTCGATATCGTATTTACGAAAACGAGTTCCGAGGGCTTCCAAACCAGTAAGGTCACTCCTCTTGGAAAAGATGACAGAATAGGATATATCTATCAATAACTTCCATACAAGAGTAATACAATGTATGTTGATCAAAGGAATATGCTGTTGAGAAAGACAAGTGATTAGATAAAATGATGAGGCCAGGAGAGCGTTAAAGCGGTATAGAAACACATTCCTTTTGAAATGTTCTCCATACCATTACAATAATTCCATATGATTTTCATGCTTTCTATTTTCGCTGGTGGGTTCCTGTCTGCATTTCTGCTGGGCGAGCCCGTCCTGGGGGCCGTCAAGAACAACCAGCAGGTGCTGCTTGCTACTGCAGTGTGGTACGTGCCTTTATTCACACTTGATGAACTTTCTGTTTTTTTTTTCGCTCTATCGTTTTTCATTCTGGTATTGACGGTGCTAAAGCTGGCATTAATCTTAGAGTAACTGACAAGAGACTAAACTCACTCTTTCACATGCGAGAAGCCATTGTGATGAAAAATTACAGTATAAAAGGATATAGGTCATTTTTTTGGGAATGCATTTCTTTAGGTAAACGGCATGTCGAATAGGTACTTCAGAGCTCTTAGGTACCTGTTCCTGTTGTTGGCTGGCATTAGCATAACTGATAGAAAGAATGAGGATGAAAGAGAGTTAAGCCGAGTCTGTTGATATTGATGAGCTTCTAAACTCACTTTTTGTTTACACACTGTCCGTGTAGTAAGCTGCAAAAATCACTCCATAGTTCTTTTGTGTACTCAGAGAGAGTAGTTACGCTTGAAGGTCGCAGCTACAATTTTCAATACTTACTGTTCAACTTGTACTGGCACTCACAAGATGCAAGGACATTATTGTGGTGACAATTTTTCTGTTTTTTTTTTGTTCACCCATTACGAGTACTATGCCATTCTTTGCACATCGTTCCACAGTGCGCACTGTAGCAATAAAGTGTTTGTGCGTGAGCTTACATATGCTTTATAATGTTCAACTGCCTAGTTTTATGTAGATGCCCTATTACACACTTGTTACAGCATGTGAAGCATGACAGCCCTCGATTTCAACTGTAATTTTCAGCACTTTCTACACAGCTTATGCTGGCACTTAAACGATGTGAAAACAATATTGCGGCTACAATACAGTTCCCTCAATTTTATTTTTCCATTTGTCTCGCTGTCACAAAACAGGTATGCCATCTTTTACTCGCCTTTTGACATCGTCTACAAGATCTGCAAGTTCTTCCCCTGCAAGCTTGTGATAGCACTGATGAAGGAGGTCACGCGGTGCAAGAAAGTCCACGACGGAGTCATGCATGCCGCCAAGGTGTATCCCAACAGCTACGTCATCATGATCGTCATCGGCGTTGTCAAAGGTCAGGCGTGCCCGATAATGCTCGAAAGTCAACACGCTGGCACACTGCCAACGTTGTTGGGTGTAGTATATGCAGTTTAAACGGCTGCGGACAGAAACGGACATAATTATGCTAAAACTAATTCATGTCATTTCTATCATGTTCATGTCCATCCCATAGTCGTTGTAGATTGCAGCAACTGGAGCATCAGTGAAAAGAGGAGACGAAATAAGTCCCAGCTGAAAGTAGTGTGGATTTGGATATCATTGACTTCGTAGAAAGCAAGTGGACGATGTAAACACAAGGAAAACACTTGATTTGCATAACAGTATGAATAGGCGCAACTTAAGAAGCGTGAAGGAACCGAGACCATAACACATATACGAGAGATAAATGTCGTCATGGTTTCTTCATGAATGCACTAATTCAAGATGTTTGCGACACTAACTGTCACAAGCTGCCACGCTTTTAAAAAGTTGTAATGCAATAGCTCGAGGCGAAAATCGGGATTTTAGTTTTGCTGCAGTTCTTTCGAACTCTGTGCGGTCAAACCTCGATACAATGACTTATAAATATAATGAATTATCGGTTACGGTGAAGTCAATGAAAAAACTTGCATTTTACTGATGCAGTGCCATGAATTCTCGTCTGAAATCGAACCCCTTTACAAGAGACACTGATATAAAAGACACCACTGTGCCTACAGTAAACTACGAGTTGATAGGAAAATGCATATGTGGTACATTGCTTGTAAGAGACATCTCATATAAAAGACGAGAATTGCTGCCCAGAGCATGCCTCTTATAAAGGGGTTCAACTGTATAAAAGATATTCAGATATAATCACAGGTTAGCAAACTTCTCACCAAGACTCGTGGCTTGATCCGATTCGGAGAGAATATGAGCCTCAGCGAGTCCGAGGGAACGGCATTTGGCGACTTTCATGCGTGCGAGTGAGTTTGGTTGAAAATTTTGCAGAGTCCGAGTGAGCCCTAAGGGAAAGATATATTTCGCGAGCGAGTTCGCGTGAGCTCCACATTTTTCGTCGACCTATGAAAAACTGGAACTGCTTGCTTGTCAGGTGCGACATTTATGAAGTTTGGCTGCAGTTACACTGTTCACTCAGTAGACGCGGTCGCCAAAAATGTGCTGCGCTCTGAAATAGAATGTCTTTGCACTTGCTTTCTGTTTCATTGTCACAAATAAATTGCAGGTAACGGGTCATCATTTCTCAAAGTCTTCGAGCGTCTACTCCGAGGCTTCTGGACTCCAGGAGCCATGGAGATCATGCAGCCTAGCTTGTGAGTCTCTGCAAACCTATTTTGTTATTAGCCACTGCTTTTAGGGAAGCATTCACACCATGTATTTAAAGAAACTGCGTAATATCAACTTTCGATAGCGAAAGTATTGTCTCACTTTGTTTGTTGCTTAGCACAGCCCCTGAGAGTCTACTATAATGCACGCAACATTTCTTTATGAAGCAGCTTCATGAACTACTCCTGTGCTTCTGCACTCTTGTTAAAACTTGCCCAATATGTGTGCAATGCATCAAGGTGATGGCCACTGACATACCAATCTCGGGGAAATTCGCAGTGCAGTGGTAATTGAAAGTACATATATGAAATAAATGTAACTGAATTAGCGTGTATGCCATCAGCTGTACTCTCGAGTATGCCCCGTTTCATTGTTGGAAAGTGGAAATTGATGTAATAGTTCGATGTTAAAAACTGGTGGTTTCGTAAATCTTGATGGAATATCTGAAGGTCACAATCAAAACTTTGCTATCACAAGTGGCTTACTTTTTAATGTTGGCTGTTGCAAAAGGTTTTTAAAAGGTACTGGCATATTTAATTATGTGTTTCTCTTGGCTATAGAAAAAGTACTGCAATGCCTAAGGGCACTGAGTAATTTAGTATAGCGTCTTTTCCACTGCAAGTTTTGGTTTTGCTTCTGAAAGGCCTGCTGAACCATGGTGTCCATATAAGGTGACCGAGTAAGCCACGATACTGTGTAACCTTTGGAAGCAGTACTGAAGCTGGTGATAAGGAAGCCGACATATATTAAATCAATGAAGGCTCTCTGAAGTTTTGTATGTTTTTGTACGATTCCAAGGACCTTAAGCCTCGTTTACCGTAAAAATAAGTTTTGCAATAACATTACACCTTTACTTCTTGAATGCAAATTTAGAGTTCACTATTTACTGAGACGGCAGTGTAGCTTGTCAATTTGCTCTCTCAAGTCCTTTTGCCTCCTAGCTGCAGTGGCCCGACTACTGCTCCTAATGCATATTTATTAGCGAGCCAATTTCACTGCAGTTCTGGCTTCTGCAAATTTTTGTTATACTGCACCTTTGCAGCGCAACCAAAGCATGCCTGGTGGCCTCAGTGATCTTCGTCCTGGACAAGAAGACCGAGTTCATCTCCGCACCCCATGCGCTTGTCTATCTGGGCATTGTCGTATTCCTGCTCTACTTCAAGCTATCCGCCATGCTTCTGGGCATCCACGACCCATTCCTGCCATTTGAGAACCTTTTCTGCGCCGTCTTCCTGGGTGGTGTGTGGGACGCCCTGGGAAGGGCACTCACTTCCAGTCGAGGTGGCGAGGGCAAGGCGGACGCTGCCAAGAACGGAAAGTCCGAAGCCACCAAGAAGAAGGACTGACGACGCAGCCTTCCACCCATCCCGTGCGTTGTCTTCACTACGATGTCACCACTTCCCTTCTCCTTTTTTTCTTTGTTCTTTTTAAACATTTCCTTCAGAGCCACACCAGCGACAAACCAAGGCAAGTGCAAGAGCCAAGGTCATCATGTTTACATGCCCAGGTGCGACTAACCTGCCATAGCTACGATTCTCAACTGCAGACCCGAAGGCCACAGAATTAAATCCTGGCCATGCGGTTGCATTTCGGTTGAGCCAAAGTGCTAAAAGCCAGTGTACTTAGATTGAGGTGCACGTTGTTATTTGTGTAATGATTATTTGTGTGATATTCAACCATTGTCGCTAAAGTGAAGGACTTGATACTGTACACTCAACTGTGAAAGTTTCCAGGCCACAGCTCCCAAGCTGTTAGTAATTACAGTCATTCAAACTTTACAGGCTATGTGGGCACAAGCTGGAAATTGAAATACCAGGCTGCTTGCTTTTTTTGGCTGCTCAATTTTTTATTTTATTGTTTTCGGATCGCATGTCTCATGCACTTTGGTGGTTGCCCTTTCTTGTTCGTTCCCTCCTACTACCCTTTCGTTTCCAGGTTGTGTGTATCTGAATTGAGCGGGGCTTGTCAACGTTCAAGGTTGACTGAGCATTGTTTGTTTTCTACCCTTTGTCTTCTGCAGGTTGCGTGTGTGTCCAAACAGGGTCTACTGCTGCGCTGACGAGTGCTGCCAAACAGTGGCTCTCATGGAAGATAAAGGAGTTTGGAGGGATTCGTCAAGGAAGGGTTGCGAGAGTGCGTGGCTTGTCTGTGTTTTTTGGGTTCAATCTGTTGCCGCTCTGTGATTGTTGAATATCCACCCACCTGGGAATTCGGACAAACTTCCCACCTAAACCCCGCTTTATTTATGCAAAATGCAAGTGACGTTCCAATGTTCTGCATTTCGAAAACCAGTGTGCCGCTTGAAGGACATGTTGCCTGGGTGAGGCAAAAGGAGTGGTTTTTTGTGCTGTTGCGTCGCAGTATGCCTGTCGCCTATTTTTAGCATTTTTTCTTCACTATACTCTGGGCTAGTCTGTAATAAATGACCACATCCTACATATGCTACTTAATTGGCATTTACTCAAATAGGCTTTCCTCGACTGTCAAAAACCCGCAACCATTGCACTATCGATTTCCTTTCACACATTTGGTACTCTTACTTTTCAAACTGCATGTCACATGCAATGATGCACAAGACGATATTTTGTTCTCCTCGACTGCCAAACTTGCAACCACAGTGTTTAAAATGAAAGTCTTCTCCTACACTTATGTAGTTGCATTTTATGTGCAATGATGCACACAAAATAGTGTCTTCCGACTGTTATGCGACCATAGTAGCTGTAAGCCTTCTTAAGCCATATACTTCATCTTTCCCATCAACAATGTGGATCAGCTAGCTAGCGTTAAACGGCTTATAGTACGCTACAGGGAAACCAATCTTCCTTGCTCATATATGAAATCAACCATATCTATAAGTATATATTTGCATTACAGCTGAATCAAAATGTAATGTATTGCCTACGCATGTTGTTGTGTATATGGTGTAACATACATGGCATTGTGCAGTGGACACGATCTTTATTATTTTGCAGTCAACCCATGTTCTAGTTTTGTGCTCTGATGTGTTACCTACATGGTAGGTTTTGGGATGCATATTCATATATAATATTTATTGTCTTAATTGTTAATGTACACAAAGATATGGTGCATATTTAGCAGGTGTGTTTCGAAGTGACGCTACCTAAATGAAACGGAAAGTGCCAAAACTATATAATGATAGTGATGATGGCAGTGATTGGTCGGTGGGCCGTATAATTTTAAGGTATCGAGCCAATAGCTATGGCGTTCTACTTGTGAGCAGGTTGGCGTGTGTTTAATTGAACCTGTGGCGTCAAATGAAAATTGATTAAATACATGCCATATATAGACTTAGGCACCTGCAATGGTTACATGGCATAGAATCCTTTACTCTTGAGGAGTAGGTTTGGTATTTGGTTGGTAGAGACTATGGATAGGTGTAGAGTACGTACATTTACTGGCTACTGTTTTCCAGAGTTCAAACTTCAAGCTGTTGGTCCTCATAGGGACAAAGGTGCTCGTTTATACACTTGAATTGAATGTGAGAGGGCTCTCAATGGAGTGCTGACAAGGCTGCTCCTTAAAAGAGTCCGATTTTTGTTGGCTCTGTGGCCGCCATAACGACTCCTCTGCTTTTGCCAAGCGGTGCTGCAGAACTTACTCGGAAGCATTCGCAAGCTCGGCTCCATCCATTTTTAAGTCCTTTGAAGATGTCAGCAACTACACAAAGTGCCAGCGCCGAGATGAACAAAAAAAATATAGAGCAGAGCTATGCGAAAGCTTGCGGTGAGAATCGCTCATGTAATTGCTCAGCCATACAATAAGCAAACGACTTAGACTGTTTACTGAATTAGCCACTGTTTGTCCTACTGAAAACATATAAAACGATGTATCCTATGGCAATGACACATGGTAATGTTTTAAATACTAGTATTCGTAGAGCTTTATGAAACTTATACACATTCACTTTGTGAGGAGGCTCTAAAACAAGCTGACAATATGGCAGCTCTGAAGCAGCTGTTTTTTTTCTGAACCATTAATGAATGAGCGCAGTGCCCTTATGCAGGCCAAGTGTGTTTAACCTGGCGAGAGTAACACTGTACACGTACAGTGTCAACAATCAATGCTTCAAGGTCATGATGTCCAATCGATGCGTATATTCTATACGAGTACACTCAATCTCTGGTTGATATGCTAGCATTGCATGATCTCCGTGCAAAAAAAAAAAAAAGTGTATTGTTGATATTTCAAAATGAAGATCAGTTGTACTTATGGTTGTTTATGTGAACTTGGAAAACCTAGAAGTGAAACTGCTTTTCAATGACATTGCAAAATATGAAATTGTTTATAATGATACCAAGCCATAAAGTTCTTGGCAAACCATCTCTTACAAACTGTGTCAACCTTAGCACGGAAAACAATTGAGCGAATCGTAGTTTAGCTAAATGCAACAGGCTTCCATTACATTGAGAGTTCACATGTACTGTGATAGGTCGATGTATCGAAACAGGGTGAACACTACGTGCTATGCTTAAGGTGTTCCTACCCCAAAGATTGAAGTCACTAGTCCTTTTACCCTGCCCTCGTTATACCCTAAAAAGTGTTTCAAACAAAGGGACTGTTTTTTGTTTACCAATCACTTTTCACTGTTGTAGGCTTTGAGAAAGCCAATAAATGGAATAAAGTATTCACCTTAATACTGATTGACTTCATCTTCATTCCCTTAACCTTGCTAGTTGTATTTAATGCTTGCTTACGCTTACTGGCACAACAGGACTGCGCAATCTCGTCGAACCGATTGAACTTTTCATGCAGGTAACCTACATGAACCGACACCAATGCTCGAGAAGTGCTTCAGTATAACTTCCGATACAATTGCAACACCTCTTGTAATTAAGAACGTACCCTGTCACTTTGGCAAGGTTAAGCTAGTATGAGGCAAACTACTAGAATAAAACTGCTAGATGCAACTAAGCGCTTATTAGTTTATCTGGTCGAACTTGTGCTCTCCAATGTACTGTGAAGTCGTACTTTTATTGCTCAGTTTTGCAAGCTATCACTGTCAACTTTATGCCCTGAAATGGGCCTTTTCTTTACTGACAATACCTCCAAAAAAGCCATGCCCGGAACGTGAGCTACGAACGCGCTGCCCAGCCCTACGATTTTACCCTCTCCCTTCGGTATGGAGGCGAGCACTTCTGACGGTCGCCCGTAGTAAACACGCAAAGCATTACCAGCTGCCAAAATTATGTCACGCGAGTGAACGATGCGAAGGCAAGCGCTCTCCCACGGTGTCCGGTTGCAACATGCGACAAGAGGCAGAGCTTCCGAGATTGCGCAGTGGCAGCACGCTCCCCGTGCAAAGAAGAGCAGCATTCTAGCCATAGTTTTTGTAAGAGGCATTGCCAGTGGGCTTCCAGCTAACCAAGACCATATCTTAGAGAGAGCACATAAACGCCTTAGTTTTAAGGCGTTTAAGATAGTTCAGACATAGCAGAGGCTCCACGCAACTGAAATATAGCAAAGCCTCTAATTCAAAGTCACTGGGACTGTGAGAAATCTTTGAATTAAGCTGGTTTTCGAATTGACAAAATACAAAGAGTGGGATGCAAAGAACTATAATTATTCGAAGTAACCAGGGCAGGTCGTTTGCTGTGCCGGCTAGTTTGCGGCTCCAAGGGTTATGTTTCTCAGCAATACCTGGTCCCAATTTTGCTGCAAACAAGGGGGAACGGCGGGCCTCGCTGCTCGCACCAATTAAAAAGAAAAGAAAACATCGTCATGATAAACTGAAATGTGCGTCTGAGGAAAACAAGACATCTTCATTGCAACACTGTAGTGACACGTGGGTGGCATGTCATTTGCTTCTCGCAGCGTCGGCACGTCACGATGCGACCATTCTTTCTGGTGAAATAAAGAATCTAATAATGACCAGCGTGACAAAATTCGGAATAAGCTTTGGCTAGAAAAAGTGGTCCTATCAAGGCTTTCGGACCGAATTTTCCAAGTAGGCGTTGCCAGCGAGAACTCCGCCAGCAGTGCAAGTGCACGAATTGCTAGACCAACCAGTTTGAAGGCTCGCATACATCGCGAATTCCACCAAACTGTCCTTTATTATTTTCTTTATATTCCCATTAAAAAAAAAAACTGGTAAATCGTGCAACGCCGACATTGCTAGAATCACGTCTTGTTTTCTGCCCACACACATTTCAGCTGAGTGTGAGACTTTTTTCTTCTTTTTTTTTTGCACTGGAAGTTGCAAGGCTGTGTTGCATCAGCTGCTACTCATCAATATTGCTAAATTGCATTGCCTTGTGGCTATTAAGACCCATCGTTTCCACGGATTTGCAGCAAAAGCAGGATAGGAAAATAGCACATGGCAACCAAAGTTTTTAAATTAACCAGACTGGTACTGACCGCCGCTTCAAATTATCCACTCAGACTTACACTGCAAAACACTAGACCGCGTATTTTGAACTAGGCAGGATTTTCAAAAAACCGAGTTAAAATTAACGTGGTTTTTACTGTACTTGTGCAAGTGCACAGAATAGCTCTCGAAAACAGAAGCCTTTGATACTGCAACGAAAAAAAAAAAAAAAATGTACCTGCTGCTTGCAGCAATGAAAGCAAAAGAAATGCTTTAGTATGACATCCGATATAAATAAAAAGCTGTTACCAACTTAGTTCACTAAATTAGATCAGTGTCAATAATATCCATGCGACAATGTCGGAAACAAACATGTACAGCAAGGCATCCAAAATATGAGGCTTTGTACAAACCATTTATTAAACTATATTTTAACATTTTTTTACAATATAGCTTTTGTACTTTTTTTTTTCTTTCTCACAGTACGCTTATACAAGCACACACAAAAAGAGGCAGTGCGAAATCACACTTTTTTCTCCAAATACTGCAGCCTGAGAAAATGAGCAAGCTGAGAAAAGCGAAAATACAGACACCAAGAAATGTCAATACACCAAGAAAGCATCGGCTTTCTTGGTTGTTCGTGCGTTATTGCCATGGGCCGCTATGGCAATCTGCCGGGGCATTGCACCGCTTCTGTTTTCGGCATGACGCGCACTATTTGATTCAAGCTTAACCGCTTTTACATGTTAATTTTTCGCAAAGCTGTGTTGAAATCGGAACCAATTTTAAGCAGCTTCAACTTCAAAGAAGTTGTGTTAGACAGTTTTCCGGAAGTAGTGGGCAAAAATTACCAAAGAGCAACCACAATGGTCACTATGCACGAACTCTCGCACACGAGCCTGTAAACAGACAAAAGATGTTAATGTGAAGACACATTTCTAGGCATTTCTAAGCCACTCTGCAATTGAGAAAGACAGCCGGTTTGTATTGTAGCAAGCCTTAAAATACAGATTACAGCTACGGTCACTCGGGATCTGTCGGAGAGCTTTGCTTCGCGGCTCTGTCAATAAGTGTCACCAGTACAGCCTCGGCCAAAAGTTGCGAGGCTAGCTTGGGTGACAGTTTGGCATCAGATTTCGCCATGTGGCTGCTTACTGGTACTGATGTAGGTCGTGATGCCTGCCATATGCCAGCTCAGCCTCCTAACCAACTCTGTTCACCCGACTCATGTTTACCAGCCAACACAAGTGATCTGAGCGTCTGAGCAACAGGTTCAGTGAGTGTCTAGCACCTCCCGAGTTACAACCTGTATATTTTTCAGCTTGAAAGGTACAAATATTTTTCTTCCTAAAATTGTTTTTTCTAATGCATTTGCTCAAACCTGCTATACCAGCAGTGAAGCGGACTTTGGAAACAACTATTGATATTACAGTTATTTTCACGAAAAGACAAAAAACAAAGCAGAGTGACTGTAGAGTGCATTGCATTGTTGATATCACAACAAACTTTAAAATGTCTGCGAAAAACAAATGATTACTGCGCATTGAAAATAACGCCTCGGGCAAATGTAGGCACACCCATCCCCCGCAGCACTCAAAAGCGTACACACCAATTACAATATAGTCGCTAGTTAAATAAAACAGCATAAACTGCACTTTGGTAGTGAGAGCTGCTGCACTAAAGCAGTCTTTTTTTTTTCTCTTCTTTTTTTTTTTTCCAGTGATATCACCTCACAATAAAACTATACATACTATTTACAAAATGAAAGTGTATTCACCGGTACCACACACAAAAAGAAAGCGAGAACCTGTCTACCTTTAAAAAAAAAAAACATTTTGTAGCATATACACAGCCTTGAATAAAACATTCATTTTAAAATAAATGTAAGCAATGCTAGGCTTAATAATGGCAGTAGGCATAGTACAACAAAATCTCTGCGTGCTTTATGTTACTACAACAAACACAAGCAAACAGCGCATACAACCTAACCTAGGATATGTGAACCTCTACATACCAAATACAGTCACGTTACAGCAAAAAGACACGCCTAGTTCCAATGACAATCGGGAAAGAGAATACAACTGGTGATGTGGTCACTGGCTCTTGTGGCGAATACGGCGAATACGGTACCCTGCACGGATAAGTTCTTCCGAAGCGCACTCGAAATAGTCTCTCACAGCTTTAGCAATGGCAAAAAACATCGGACATTGACAAACAAACGCACGCACCCCACACGGAAACAAATAAAAAAGACAAGTATTGACTGCAGCCAGCACCTTAGTGAAACATTTGAGGAAGACTACATTATCGGAGCCGCCGGTTCCTACAACGGAAAGCTGCTACTATGGAGTAACGTGTGCAGAGTGAATAGCTGTGAAAGGTGCCTGCTGCCTTGCACGCAAGAACAGAAAGCGCAAGACACGCTCTGGGAGTCCACTACACATTTCAGTTTGCATTGATAAAGTCTTGTCTACGCCACACTCACCACAGAAAGACTAGAAGAATGCTTGAAAACATGTACACACCTCAGAGGTAAGAAATGACATTTTTTAGGGTGTCGCTCAAAATGCTTGTTTTGAGTATGACAACTGTAGCTTCATTGCACAAAGGGGAGTTGACACCGACAACCTAAAAGGTGCAGTTGAAGTCATGCCTTAAATGGTGTAAAAATGATACACGATACATGAGAATTAAGATTAATTTCAAATTTTAGTCCCTTCTTTATCACTGTGTACAAGCTAGTTTCCTGTTAGGAGCTCTTAAAAAGCTGAAGATGATCATGGTATTGCCACGCACAGGGTTTTGGATGAGAAAGGGGAACCACGCAAGACTTATGGAAATTGCAGTGGCATAACAAGAACACCTGAAAGGGGGTGAAACTTTACACCCCAAAATTTATTTTTTTTGGCGAGAGGAGAAAGCAGATGAAGAGAGAGAGAGCACAAACAAATAAAAAAGAACTGGCAAAGCTTGGGCAAAAAAGCTTTCACAGTAAAAGAGGAAGTTTGCGCTGGCGAGCCACTCAACATGGCTGGTTCATTTTTCGCAGCAAAGTGGAAAATTGCGCGATATTGGTAGTTGCAACATAGATTACCAAGTCTAAATATTAAAAAAAAATGCATCTCACAAGCTGAACTCAAGAATAGTTTTATGCAACCCTTATAAAATGGTGTTTTTCTGGGCCATGTTTACAAGCTATGAAAGGTTGCCATGAGAAGCCTTGTCAAGTGATGTAGCAGAAAGTACCCTACACAGATAGCCACTGGCTCTCAGGTGAGCTGACATCTTAAGAGCAAGCATAGTTTGCACAGACTAGGCATATGAGCATTGTCACGCAAAAAAAACAACAAAGACACATTGAAAAGACCACCAGAAAAATTTTTTACTTGAATGAGGTTTTTAAACAAGAACAGTCAATCTTAGTGCTCAATTCTTCAAAAACATGTTCGCTTATTGGAGAAGTGCACTCACTTACTTTTTTTTTTGCAAGATTGCTGCGCTTGATATTACCAGTAGCTACATATATCTGTTGGCGTTATGAGCATCACTTACATTTGTACACTGTTCCGTATAGGCTACGTAAATCAGGGCTTTGAATATACAGCTACAATTTGCAAAAAGTTAAATTCACTGTCCTCCTAGAAACTTCACCGGGTAATGTACTCGTCATTTAGCATTAGTCATTCTTAAATGTGAACACCAAAATAAAACAAGATGCCAGTACTATCTGGTGTTTTCAGCTATGCGTCTCACTTTTTGACTCTTGGTTTGCTTGCTGAACCTGTTTCTTTGGCAAGTAATCTCTGAATGTTAATTTACTAGTTTAAATAGCCGTTTTCTCTTAAAGTGTCCTTCCTAAAGCAAAAACTGAGTGCATACTTTCCCAAGCATATTCCATCAACAATGCACAAAACTGTCCACCGACCCCGTCCCTCTCGCTCATGACTGAACGCTTCATGGCACTCGCTAGTACGTAGTTCTATCACATTGCATACTGACTGAAGCATGTTGCCTACTCAGGCCCATGCACACGTATCACTTCGCCACCGATTGGTGGCCATGCCAAACAATGTACAAGCAGCACTGATACATTATTACTTTCATGTCTTGTGTCCTTGAAGCACTCTGTTTGCTTTCATTATTTCAGCGCTCTTATGTCAGACTTTTCAGATATGCTTTCAAGGGTTCCAAAAGGCACTTACACCTTGCCATTTTCAATGCTATTAACAAATGTAGAAGACGATCCCTCAGCGTTTAAGCACTACTCAATAGACTGAGCTAATGTACGGGACTCTTCATGAAAGAAGTCATCCAGGACACACAGTAACAAAAAATGTAGAGTAAAAAACGAAGCTTTCTTCCCCCCTAGGCCATGCTTCGAAAATAAAAACAAAAAACCCCTGAAAGAAAGCAAAAAAAGAAGCCACACGTCATATGTGAACCAGTTTCCGCACGCTACTCACGATGAACATCTTGAGACGACACCTTTTACGTTATAACTAGTGCGTCACTTAACTCGCACTGTTGCAATCTGCTACAATCACTCAATACAGAGTCACTCTTTGGGGCAGCTGCTCCACTCTTATCACATAAGCTGCTTTCTAAGCCTTTTGATGTTTTAATACCTAACAACATCATTTAAAATAAGAGACCAATTCTTCTGCACTCACATGCCAAGCTTGCATACTCACATTTCCTCATCTCATCCAAAAAAAAAGCTAATTAACAAAAGTAAATGAATCTCCTCACTGACTTACATTTGTTTAACAAGCAAGGCTTATTTAAACACAAATTACTAATTAGTCACTGCAATGAATAAAGCTTCGTGGTTATTACCCCGAAGATAAGTTTCAAAAGTGTGGCGAAAGCAGGCATGGCTAATGCCCGCTGCAATACTACAGCACACCTATCGCTGACGAGCGCTATTGAACCGCAACTACCCCAGAAAGTAAAGCTTATTCTCAATCAGTAGCGTTCAAACGGAAGTGTCAAAGCATGGCTCGTGCACAAACACTTGTGGTAATTCTCTCACAAGTCACATCCACTTATTTCCCACAAAGAAGTCTTGTAAAATATGAAAGACCGCACACAGAAGCATGGGGCAGTCAGTTGCAAGCGTTAGTTTGCATATCCACCTGTAAGCACCTCTATCACACGTGCAAGTTCGGGCAAAATGTTCAAAGCACAACTGGCTCTTTACAACACATGCTCCATAACGATGCATCTGACTCAATGCTCCATAAAGATACGTCACACTTAAGAAGGCGGCCTCAGTCTTGCCGTTTGTCATTTATACAAGTGGGCTCCGTTTTGGCACTAACATTTATCCCTACTACGTGCTTTTCGTTATCCCTACTTTTAATTAGCGAGGTTTAGTTTGTACACAAGCGTGCTGCACTTTTCTGGCATATCAGGTTGCCAGAGACGTAAACAAGAGTGGTTGGCCAAGAGCACCGTCCAGCGACGTACATACCATCCGGCAAGTATATGAGCGGTAGTAAAATTTGTCGACACGTTTACCTGTGGTTTTCTGGTCAATTGACTTTCCCGAGAAAATGAATGTTGCGGGGTCATCGCTCAGTCCCAGATGCACCGATATGTTTAGGAAGCTGCCTAAATGTTGCCATTTCTACCCAGCCTGTAATTGCAGCGGGTGTGAAACACAATTCATGATGTATATTCTGTAACGTAAGCAAGCACCAGCAACTATACTAAAATGTACGATGATAAACACTTGAACGATAATTGTGTTTCACTGCAGATATGACGTTTGAAGATCGAAGACTGTGCCCCCTAACTCTGCCACCTGTTTCGATTGTTTTTTTTTTATACTGGACATAAGTTTGCCTAAAGTTCAATTTCTACAAAGGTTCAGCTGCTCGGTTCCTCAGTTTCTTATTTATTATGATTTCTTATTTAGCTGCAGGTGTAAATTTTTGGCACTGACATATCCAATAACATGCAGCCTTAAAAACTTTTTTTAACGATAGCACTCGAGTAACAATGAGATCTATATAATGCTCTGTGGTTGAACAAGTCGATACAATATGTTGCTACCAACAATACTGTTGCACTTCACGTTTCTGATGACCTGGTATTTAAATGAAGGTTGAAACACTTGCAAATGCACTGACACCCTTGACAGTGACTTTTCTCTTCAAGAGAGTGTCCATTTAGGCATGTTGATATGCTTATACAGCGTGCTTGAAAAGCACACTTAAAAAGCGTGCCTTTAATGCTTATCCTTGTATGTTTAGAAGGTACGAATCAGCTGCAGTCCGAAAGACAAGCTTCACACACAGCAACCATGTGTGTATAAAGTGCCTCTTCATCGGCATTTGGATCCAGCTTTCTAAGAGGACTTTCTCTTTACGTATAGCTTCACACGCACAGAAGAGGGAGTGCACACTCATGACAATGGTTCTTGGGGACTGTTTGGCCAGCAAACAGAGCGGGTAATAATTACTGAAGTGCCAATGTCAGTAGGTGCGTGAAAACTAATAAATTAGCTGTCCCGAATGAGCAGCGAATTTTCATTCCATTATAGACACAAGGGCAATCAAAACCTAGAATGCCAGGACAAAATTCTTCATTGCACTTATGTATCTAAAAACACAATCAGTCACAGATGTACATGAAATTACTTCTGGTGTTTTACATGCCAAAACTACAATACAATTATGAGGCACACTGTTTTGAGGGACTTTAAGTTAACTCTAACCAACCACTCTCGGTTCTTCAATATGCACCTAAATCTAAGTACATCCATGTTCTTGCATTTTGCCCCCCATCAAAGCGACGCCACGGTGGCTGAGAAACAAGCCCACATTCTCAAGCTCAAAAGTTCTAAAAAAAATGTGGTACTGGCTGGTAAAACACGCCAGCTGGCAGTTAGGTGTTCAAACAAGACATTAAAACAAAAAAATATGCTAAAACCTAAAACAAATGATGTGACTTGATGATCGCAGAAAGGATGGTGCACCATGTGTCAAGATTCGCACGTAAAAAAAAAAAACAAAAGCTTCCGCAAATGGCTGTGCAGGAAGTGAATGAAACAGCCCTCGCCTAACTTTGGGGCTGAAAAGATGGAACAAAACAAGCATGGCTTGTAAGAGCAGACATCTGCTACAGGAATCCACAACAGAATTGCCAACTGGCATTGTGGGAAACAAGAGGGCATGGCCAACAAAACGAGCACATAAAGAGAGAGAAGTAAACAAGAGTGAGAGAGAGAGCGCTGTGAAAAGGTCCTTAGTTTTTTTGCTAGGTTGCTTTTTACCCTTAGTGGCAGCGCTTAGACGACAACGGCCGCCGCGTAGCAACGACTGAGCGGCATAGGTGTCGCCTTGGACCACATGCTGACCTCGGGGTCGTAGGTCTCAGCTGACTCCAGCGTGAGGGGGGGCCCACCAATTGCGAAAGGCCGGTCATAACCCGAGGGACGTCGGCCGCCCATCACGTGAAGACGGCCATTGACACCTACGACGGACGCACCCACACGTGCCATACTCATTGGAGGAAGCTCCGTCCAACGGTTCTGCAAACAAGTGGGAAAGCGGGCCAGCCATAAGTCACCCATAGACTAAGCTTGTGTGAATAGAGAATTTTAGGTTCGAAGCGAATTCAAAGCGAATAGTGATTTCGGTCAAATAGTTTTGAATTGAATTCGAATAGCATATTTGACACATAAAAAAAATGGGCATATTTATCATGGCCTAACGAACCTCCACAATATTTCAAAAAAATTGAAAAAGAGCCTCTGTGCAAATGCCGTTTTTTTTTCTGTTCAAAGGGAGTCGAAACGACTCAGTACTAGCTGGATTTGTCTTTCAGCGGAATGCGAGTTATAACCCTAAAGTACGTAGCATTTTAAAATTTATTATACTTAAAGCACATGAGCTGTCATAACAAGGTTTTAAGCTTAATAAAATTAATTGATTTGAGGGTAATATTTTCATTTAAAGGGGCTGTCTGACTTTCAAATAGCCATGAAATGGATTCACTAAAAAAAGCTTATTGCCTCAAGAATTCATCGCCAGCAAAATTTTTAGAATCCATTCAATACGAGCGGAGTTGCGAAGATTTCTCCCATGCTGCAAGTGCATTCGATCTTCTTGTCCCTATGAAAGCGCAGGAAGCTAAGCAGGGAGAGATGGCACGGGGAAAGAAAATACGTCACGTGTGCTTTCTAAGCTTGTGGAGTCATTTGCCGAGATAGGAGAGCAATTTTCAGCTGAGTTTGAGAATTTATTGTGATCGGACGCTGCGTGCTGCGCTAAAATATTTGCCTTGCGTATCCTCGGTAGCCTCGACTACCGATCGGCAGCGTTTTCTGACACTGGTCAAAAAGTGTTGCAGGGCCCCTAAAATTTGTGGAAAGGCTTCGCGACAAAGCGGATTTCTCCTGGACAGGTGCTTTCACGGTTCATCACTCCTACACTGCAGTGAAACTACCTTTGCAAGCGGTACATTCGAATTAATATGCGTGTATTCGTTCCTTGCGAATACTTCGAAATTTTCAATGATTTAAACTCGAATCGAAGCGAATACAAATATCTTACTATTCGTTCAAATATTCGAAGCATTCGAATATTCGCAAAAGCCTATCATAGACGTGTTGCATATAGAGGGGCCCTGCATTGCTAATTTCAATGATTCCAAGTAATCATCGAATGGCTTCACTATAGAGGTTCATTGGCTCACCAATCTATTGCCACAAGAATTTTCAAAATTTGTCAAGTATGAGCAGAGTTACAGGGCTTTGCTCTTGCTTCTTCTCTGCTTTTTTACCAGAGAGCGTGCTGAAAGTTACGTATGAGGTGGGGGTGGAGGGGAATGATGACAGGGGGAACTAGAAGGAACTTCCGTTTGGCAGCACGCTTTATGACTGAGCACTTTCTTTCTTATACCACCCCTCCCTCTTGAACTGCAGCTTAATTTGAACTATCGCGAGAAAGCACAGGGATAAGTGGCTATACGGTAGCCACAGTAGTTCGGCAGCTCACAATGCTCAAATAGGTTGACGGTCGTCGACTTTGTGTTTAGGGCATCATTTGTTGAGAGAAGAGAGGGCAACTTCTAGAAGACTGACAATTAATTGTACATTCCGAGTAGCGTGCAGCACTACAATGTTTAGATCACTTGTTCTCAGAAGCCTCACATTGACAGTGTTTTCTGAACATGATGAAAAAGTGCTACAAAGCTTCAAGGAAGTATCTCTAGACCTTTCACCGGCCACTTTCGGCGGGTCATTCCAATTCGAAAATACTTTGCCAGTCTCGAGCTCTACTAGAAAAAGAAGAAAAGAAGAAGAAGAAAAAAAACTTGGAAACATTCGGTGGAACTTTATTTTGCAGTTGATTTTGTGCCGAAGTCTTTCCGCGATATTTGGACAGCAAGTGGTGTCCAACAGTAAACCGCAAATGGTAAAGCACTTGTCTTCCTAGGTCTTTGGTTTCTCCCACCCAAATATCGACTAACCTACCTAATGGGCCTTACTCTCCAAATCTGAAACAGCGATACAGGCTGGTACATATCTAGAGATGCTGTTTGCTCTGGCATGCGAGCGTGCATTGTGTGCCGAAATGCAGAGCACAGTGCAAGCAGAAAGAAATTTGACAAAGAGTAGCTCACCTCCTCAATGGAATAGCGCTCGACCGAGTTGAGTGCAGAGGCAACATCACTGCTGCCACCGACGGCGTAGATGTGGTCGTGCAAGACTGCAACACCAACGTAAGCACGGCGCTTCCGCAGTGGAGCCAGCGTCTGCCACTCATTGGTGACCGGGTTGTACGACTCGACGAGTGCAAGCTCGCAGTTGAGGTCATTGTATCCTCCAATGACGTAGATGAGCCCTGGAGAAAAGCAGCGACTCCTTTTTGTGTGGCACTTGAAGATGCATCAAAGCGCGGGCCCATTTAAGTGTAGGCTATAAGATAACTGCTCTTCCAGCACTGCTAGTTGTGCATTACATGTAATGCTGCAACATTCGCAGGCACAGCCAACTACTATTTCACACCCACCGACATCTACATTTTTAACCAAACAATTGCATAACTGTGCAAATATATATCACACCATGTATGACACAACTTCTGCTAAAATGACACAGAAATGCAGAAAGAAAACACCAACACAAAAACAAGAGTAAGCGACAATTCTATGTCATTCTGTCATTCATTGAAAATCGTGATGTACACAAAGAACCAACTAGACAATGAACAAAACTTCCAGAAGCATTGCACTAAAGGCAGCTGTAATGAGCCATGCTAATAGCGCTTGTTTGCATAGCATTCTTCATGACATGCCCAGGCTACATTGCACTGATAACTTACAGCTGTAAAATGAAAGTGCACTCTTTCTAGAAAAACCCACCTTCGTGGGCAAGCACTCCCATGGCATAACGACCGACCGTCATTCGGCTAATTATCTGCCACGTGTCCAAATCAGGATCGTATTTCTCGATGGTGTCGCCAAGCTCCGCGCCCACCCAGCCACCGACGGCGTACAGGCAGCCATCCAAGGCACACATGCCTGCGTAACAAGGAGAAAAAAAAAAAAAAAGGGAAGAACACTACTTAACTATGAACTACAACACAGCCGCACCTAAAAATGGAACATCAGACAAGAAACTGAGTTTTCCACTAGACTTTTGACAATTACCCGACAATGCTAAGAGTGCAGAACCAGGCCACTATCAAAATTATATTGTAAAGCTTAAGAGTACTGAACGAAGATGGAATAAAATGATGAAAACATCAAAATTCGGAGATGCGACTATTCTTATAGAGTTTACTTCACTTATTTTTGAACAGGTGGTTTTAAGAGGATTGTGAGGAGCATGCCCTGAGTTGCACATTGATGGCCACGACGTGAAGTCCCCTTTTCTGGTCTTGTTTGCCCTCGCCATTTCCTTCGTGAAGCCATGCCAACGAGCTCAAATTGATACCCTTTCAACTGGGGAGAGTGCTGAAGTAAGGACTCGAGCAAGAGGCGAACACGTTAGGTGGAAACTCTGCAGGCAGAGATGAGAGGGGCCCTGCATTGCTGATTTCAATGATTCCAAGTAATCATCGAATGGCTTCACTATAAAGGTTCATTGGCTCACCAATCTATTGCCACCGAGAAAAGGAAGGAAAGGTGGAGGAGAATGAAATAAGACATAAAACTTCGAGCAGAGATTCAAACTCGTCGTGGTCTGATCTTAAGACGAGCGTCGTAACCCCCCCCCCCCCCCCTTCGGTCATTCAGGTACCGTAGCTGAACGAGCATTGGTGGAAACGATATGATTGCATTGATATGGGGGAGAGAATGAGAAAAAAAGTGAGAAAGAGAAAGATCAAGACATTAAAAGATAGAGAAGTAAAAAGGAAGTGGAGGGAGAAAAAAAAAGCGGACCATAAGCCTGCCAGGCATAGTACAGTAGTAGAGCAAAAGGTTGTGGTGGCTGCACTTGGTGACCACGACTGTAAGCTGGCTCTCGGCCAAAGGCGGGACAAAACACTGTCCTGGAGGCAGGCCAGCAGGTCAGCGGGACCCCAGTCTTAAAACTGGGACATGTTCTGCCTAAATCGAGACATTTGGTTACCTCAATAATAGCTTTCAGTAATCGGACGCGTAATTCGAAGGTCGTGGGCTCAGCTCCCACCAATGGAAAAATTATATTTTTCCCCCATTGAGAATCATTACAACACAGATAAGGAACCCCAAATAACTTCCCCAATGCTCTTCCAGGCTTAACTGCCTATCGGTTTTATTAGTTGTTTATTACCGTATTTCCTCGTGTAATGAACACACTTTTTTCTCGAAAAATCTGAGCAAAGTTGGGGGGTGCGTTAATTGTGCGGGGCAAATTTTATGATAACTTTTCCGGGAGAAGGAAAAAATGTGGTGATACAAAAAAAAAACTAAGGTCCTTAGCCTTTCACACTTCAGATATGCGTACACTGTTTGGAAACAGCTTCTTTGTTGCACTTACTCATCTGGGTAGTTGATGGCGCTATCTTATGCAAGCTGTCCCTGGGCTGCCCCTTCACGCCATAAAAGCACTTTGCCACTATGGCTATCTTTTCTAGCAATTTAACTGCAATAGTGGTATCTGATTGTGATCTCGAGGGGCTCCCAAAAGCCTGCACTCACAGGGGGGGAGGGTGAACCTGGGAAAAAAAAAGGGGGGGGAGGGGTTGTTTGCAGGAAGTGACATGGTTGGCTCAGGCAGTTTGGTGACCTTTGCTGGCTGTGTGCTTATCAGGGAATCCAAATGTTGATGACTGAAGTTGGGGGTGCTTTTTATTATGCGAGTGCGTTCATTACGCGAGTAAATACGGTATGTCTAATGGCCTTCAGTTCCAATCACAATGCTATGTGCACTCTTAGGATTAAAAATACTGCAATTTTACATGCTGAAACCACTATATGATAGAAGGCAACAAATAGTTAGGGAATGCAGTTTGATTTTGACCAACCTAATCTGAGTACACGGGTTTACCGCTTGCATTTCAGGCCCACTGAAGGGCGGTCGCAAAGATGTGGAATCAAATTCGCATCTTCAACCTTAACAGAGCAACGCTTTACCTATTGAGCAAGTAGAGCAAATGAATTTTATAAGGACATTCAGAGATAAAAACGATTCGAAGCTATAGTAATACAAATGTGGTGATTAATATGTTTCTGGCCGGAAGTTTTATGTTGCTCACCCATCATGCAGCGAGGCTGGACCATGGGTGTGATGCTATCCCAGCGGTTGGCCACGGGATCAAACACTTCGGCACTATCCAGGATGAGGCAGTCGCTCTCCCCGCCCGCAACGTAGACAAGCTGGTTGAGAGTCGCGGCCCCGGGCCCCGACCGCGGGTGAGCCATGGGGGCAAGCGAGCCCGCCCACTGTCCTCGTGCGGGGTCGAAGCGCTCGACGCTTGCCAGACTGTATCCCTCGCCGAAGCGCATGCCGGTGTGCCGATGACAGCCACCGAGGATGTAGACGCTTTTGCGAGCGCACATGCGAGGCTGCTGTTGCACGTCCACCACTTGTACCTGAAAGTACATTGTGAACCAAGATCATAAAAAGCATATTCCAGGCCTTCAAAAGCCAAATGCCACAAACTTTCAATATGGGTAGGTTCGTTACAAGTGAGTTGCAGTATACAGTAGAATCTCAATAAGAATCTTGCGGGAATGTTAAAGAAATCACCAAAAAATTTCGATGACAATTACAATACTGCCTTGTGCAATGTCTGTGCAGCTGGGACGCTCCCACTGTCGTGTCCGGAAGGGTATTGAACAACGCGATATGATCGTGGCTCGCCGAATGGGGGGTATTGGTAGTCGACGGCAGAGCCAGGGAACAGCTTCTCATTGTGATGGCATTTTTTAAACAACCACGTCGCCGTGTGTTTCTGTCACTGTGCATGAGGAAGGTGTCCCTGGCTACTGTGTGCGAGTGGGTGCTCTCCATATGGGCGGCTGTACCGCGCGATGTAGTTTGTGTGATCGTTCGCGAAGTGTGGTGATGACGACGTGCTGTTTGACCACAGCAGCACCAGTGAGGAGGACTTCAGTGACGATGAGTAGTCGTTTCGTGAATAAATTTCCTTTGTGTGAACTGTGCTCACACTTTTTTCCTTTTGGGGGACACGCGATTTTGGGGAAGTTGACCTACATTTGAATTGACACACAATCATGTAAATATGGTATGTATGGTGTCTTGCATATATGGCAAATATGACAGAGCAAATTAACTGGAATTCTGAATGCATGCAACGGTAGAGAAGCGTGAGCCTTCTATATCAACACGCGCAGCTACAAGTGTACTTAGTCAAGCATGCAAAGTGACCAGAGAGAGCGCTAATGCTCACCTGACTGCTCTTTCCGTCAATGCACAGCCTGCGGTCTGGCTTCAGGTCCTGGACCAACTTGAGCAAAGCATCGCGTAGCTCCCTGTCGGGACAGGTGTCGACGTAGAGCTCCAGTTGCTTACGTGAGATCACCGGGAAGCGGATGGCCTCCAGCACATCGAAAAACAGGGAGCGCCGCTCTTCCACATTGTGCAGGATCCACTTCATCGTGGCATCGAAAACCTGTGCCAAAAGAGGTTTATTTAAAAGATGTTCAAGGAGCAATGACAATTTTGAGCAACCCCAAGAGTTATATTTTGTATTTCCTTAGTATGCCTTGTCAGTGCTCTCCACACAATGGAGCCAGACAGCAGAAATAAAATATTTTAGATTGACTTTGAAGTTCTCATGGCCAGGTCCACCACAATGTACATTATCACGAGACAACACAGTGTATTGAATCTGCCAATACCTAAGTAGCTGAAATTGCAATTGGAGTTGGTGAACAGCAATTTACTGACCGTTATTCACGTGCACTATGTGCAACTGACAGCACACGACAAGGCTGCTGTTAATATGACAAAAGTTGCTGCAACGTCAGCCTGTGTTTGTCAAGTCACTGTGAAACTGCCCCCTTGACACCAACGATGTTTTTTGAAGGTAGCAGTATGAAAGATTTAATTAATGCATTCACAGGCACTACAACACTCTTTCGAGGATTCTCAACACCCATGCTTTTATACTGAGCAACAATCTGTAGATACTTGAAATTTGTCTCAGTACTTGCCGATTGTCGACTTGCATAGATAAACATACCGTTTACAGGCATGATGCAAGGTCGACATTGTACGATGCGTACCTGAAATTCATTATCGATGCTGAGTCCCTCGCTCTTCAAAAAGTGGCGAAGGGTTTCAGTGGGCAGCTCGTAGAACTCCTCCTCATTGATGACTTCGGTGAAGCGCCTCTCGATGAAGCGCTTTGCCTCCAGCTTCAGGTTAGTGCATGCATGCATCTCAGCAAAGCGAAAGATGCCTGCACGATGAAAGCATTCAGCAATTTAGGCACAAAAATATAACAAAATATATTTAAAAAATTATACCGTTTTATGCGCGAATATTGTGGCCTGCTTACAAGGAGTTTTACAGTAAGTCATTTTGGACCACCAGTGGTTCTTAAAGGGATGTGTTAAGGCAAATATTAAGTCCACGTTGATAGCTGAAACAGTGGTCCAGAAACCTGGTAGTGCTACTTTTGTCCCAAGGAAGTGCTCATTTTGAAATAAAATCCCAGTTTAGTAGTCTGCCCCACGTTAGCACTCTTCAAAGCCCCCACCTGAAAGTGGACGTCTTAAGCAGCTGTTGCCGTGCACAACGTTGCCCCGGCTTTACCGCGCGGTCGCTGGCACTAGTAGCACAGAGCGAAAGTAGCTACAGCCACAGCAGCAACAACAGCCACTAAACAATTTTTAGCCATGGCCTCCGGGATGGTAGGCATAGTTGGTTCAACTGGGTCCCGCTAGATGGCACGACCTATCCAGTTCAACCAGGCAAAAACTGAACTTTTGAACCACTTGTGCTATTTCCTCTAGTAACATGTGATGGTTATTTTCTCCAAAAATCAAACAGAAACAAAGAAGCAGCCATTTATTACATTTCTTGAGGCACAGAAGGTTCTTTATTTAGTGCAGCTAGTTCACTTACTAGTGATTAATTGTAGGGAATAAGTCAGACGTCGTCGGGATCATTTTGCGAATGTCCTACTCGTGGTACATGTGTTCTCGTGCATTTCTCGGTAAGTAGGGCACAGCTTTTGATAGTTTTGTTTTAGACGTTGCCATACATTGAGCTTTCACTTCAACAAATGGTTATTTGATATTAGTGTCCTTTTAAAGGAACCCACAACTGGCCAGAACGGGTGATTAGATTCTGGTGGAAAGGAAAAGAGCGTGAATTATGGTGACAGGCGACAGCATACTTTTCGTGATATGAGTATGATTTAAAATATTAAATTGTGTTCAAAAGTAACCAAAACCAACATGTCCCGTCCCTAGCGCAAGGGCTATGAACCACAATTATGAAGTCCTAATAACTTCGATTATTTAGAGCGCACCAGAATAAAGGCTTAAATTTCAAATATGTACGTTATTGTTCATTTTCGTTTGTTTCTATGCGGCTTAAAAGGTAAAAGAAGTAGAGCATGAAAAGTGGCACTGCTTCCGTGCCGCGCGGCGTTTCAAGAGCTGCTCGGTTCTCATCGCGTCAGGCCCGTGGGAAGAAGCATGCGAGCTTGTGAATGCGATTGCGGCGGCATGCGAAATGCCGTCGACCTACTGCTCTGTAAAGAATTGATACCACTTCATGTCTGCTGCTGGTAGTGGGGATGGTGGCGCTTCGTCAAATTCGTCGCTACCCCTGTCGTCCGTCGAAGCACGTCGCTCTGACGCTACTTCATAGGGGTCTTTATTTTGCACTCTACTACACAGAGCTATAGGGCCGGCATAATGCTCTGCCGACTTTCAACAAGACACAAAAGCACAAGGTAAAGCTTCTTCACTCACGACTGGGCGTGTCAAGTCAACCTTGAACTTTAACTTTACTGGCTTGCACATGGCAACCAAAAGCTATCTTTTTCACGTGCATCCTGCTCGCTCACCCACGCAGTTGGAAGGGTGCAACTCCCTCTGAAGGAAGTCGCAGCACGCTTGAACCACGTCAGCGAGCCTGAACATGTTGGCAGCTGCGAGCAGATCTTGGCAGTTGTCCCGTGTTATCAGGATCTCACCTGCGCAGAATACAGATAATTATCACGAAAAAAAGAACTGGTGATGTAGTGTGATCGACGATATAGCACAATCCATGATCTAGCCCATCAAATCCCCAAACGGGTTATCCGAGGTGGTGTTTTTTTTTTCTCTGGCAATTCGTCTGCCACTACATACTTCACAATACAAGGCTATAGGAAATCAAATATCCCCAACACAAAAAGGACGAGAATGTCACCAGTGCCACTTACCAGCTGATAATGACAAAATGGTGCAAAAGGGACGAAACCCATTTCTGTCCTCACATCAGCCACTCTGTCCCTTCAGCATACGTAGATAGGTTTTATCTCGACATGCTCAAGAGACAGTATGTCTGACATGAGTACAGAGAAATAGGTTTCGTGCTTTCTACAAAATAGTAGTCTACTTCTTTTTTTGCTGCACAGCAGTACCACACAAAAAAAGAGCATCTTGGCCCTTTATAGGTTAACAAAACGCTCGGAAGCACTGCTGCATGCATCTCTTCATAGACAGAAGTTCATTCAGAATTTTTCTTACCAGAGTAGGAGAACCGCAAGAGGGTTTAACTGTGCAACTGAATATAAATTATATCCAGCCATGAAGATCATAGTAGCAATATAAAACAATTTGTCAATAATTTGATGCTTGCAAACTTTTGTCATTTTGCTCACTACAATAGCAACATAACATTCTAAATATATGCCGTTGAAGGAAATGAGAACTACAGGCAGTCCACTACATTTAAAATGCTTTTTGAAGCCAATGACTTGGAAAGGCTCAAAGCTTGATTAATAAAATTGTTTGATTTCTGAGAGCAAAGCAGCAACACACAAGCATAACTGAAACACTTCTAACTTTTCATAATAGTACGCTTTAAGAAGAGTACTGACCAGCTTTTAAGACATTGCAAAAAGGAAATCCTTCATTTTCTTGGCAAGGATTGTTAACACTTTTCAAACAGTGTAGGCAGGAAATGAGTATAAAGTATTTTAGTTTGATTTGAGTTTTTGTCGCCAAGTATCTGCGAGGCCATATCATAAACAGAGTTGATGTCAATAACTCCACTAAGGTAACAGTTCGAGTTCGTTAGTGCAGCACGACACAGGGTAAATGCGCAGGAGACCAAGACAGAGAAGAGGCTTGACACACACAGCCCTCGTGTGTGCCAAGCCTTTCCTCTGTCCTCGTTTTATTGGCATTTACCTTGTGTCATGTTGGCAACTCGGCGATGCTGAGGTTACTTAAGTCATACAAGAAGTATAATTTACATAGCTGCAACTCGTTGGGGGGGCTAAAAGAGGATACGTCGTCTTTTTGTTGTTTGAATGTCTCTGCTCGGCCGCCGAGCCCAATGGTCTGACCACCCTCTCTCTCAATCTTTATTGTTAGCGGCCCTGTCTGGCCCATCAAATGCCAGTATGAGCCTGGCCGTAATTATGTGCACAGAGCCAGTGCCCAGGCGTCCCAACCACCCCACCTATTCCACGAGAAAGCCGTTGTCGGCCAGACACACAAGGATGAACCAAGATAGAGGGGTTGCCTTTGTTTGAACTAACACAAAATTTCAAAGGCGAGATAATGAGTGAGATAGGTTTATCTAGAGACATACACAGCATCTACGAAATGTCAAGGGAAACCATAACCTACCACATATTAGTCACCAATTTTAATGTACATCCTGCGAGGCTGAGCGAGATACGGAGCCCTTCACGACACTGACATTAACGCTGCCGGAGTGTAAGGAAACCTACATCACTAGTTTGTGTAGATCATTTGTTTGCACGCGAATTTCACTTGCACTAACTGCAATTTATTCCTCTGTGCCTTCAGCTTTGCATCAGAGAGGGTGACCTCTCGCGTGTACCACCTTGTCACAGTTTTGCGTGGTTACGTGGTCAGCTATGTTTACCTTGTTACCAACTGCTGCTGCCCAGCTCGTGGTTTTTTGAAACTGCAACTTGGCGCTCTCAAAACGTCTATAAATGAAAAATAGTCGCACACTCGTGTAAACAAGGTCTCAGACTACGATAAGTGGGCCATAAGCCACCTATTGGGACAAAAAAAAAAAGGTGCAACATTTTTGTGTCGGTGCTCCTTTAACAAAGCATAAATGGCACTTTAGAATCTCTCACCTGCGTATATGAACCCAAACAGCAGGTCAGCAATGCTAGCCGACACACCCCGTATCTCGACAGTGCCACAGTCCGCCTCGGCCAGCCCAGAGTGGAACATGGCCGCAAAGTAGGGGCAACTGGCCGCGAGGACCACACGGTGCATCACAAACTCCTCGCCATCCACTCGCACAGTCACATCACATAGCATGCCACTCTCACGCAATTCACTCAGACTGCTGAGCACTCGTGAGCCGTACTCCCGGCTGCGGAAAAGTCTCTGCTGGCCACCCGTGCCGGTGTTCCTAGAGCTGCCCCCACTTCCACCGCTGTCCCGGTGATGGCGGCGGCCCTTGGGCCGCCACGAGGGATTTGCCAATGATGGTGGCGGCATTGCCAACCTGCAGAAATCAATCGTGAATCTGAATATACCTCTGAGACTGTTACAGAGAATGGGCATTATGTGATCACTGCAACATTACGGCATCTAAAGGTGAACCTACCTAAAATATAAAATTACAAATGCTTTCCATAATTTACTATGCCATGCTCAGAATAGATCGGGAAGCTTACATATCACCCCCTCCTCTCCCATATATCTGGCAGAGGTCATCGCCCTCTGAAAATAAGTGAAATTAATCCTAGAAGAAATGCATTTCACCACTAATTTTTCACATACACCACCACATAAGCCAGTGGAATCGGCTACTAGAGCGAATAGCCGATTGTCATACTGAAGCATCGTTCAGTGCATTACTTGATACAAGGCGGCACAGCTATCCAAGATGTGCATAATTAGATGCCTTGACGGTTCCCTCTTGTGGGTGTTGGGTCTAAAGGGGTTTTCTAGGAATTAGACTGATCTTTTGAGATGGTGCCGTGTAATAGAAGGCATTCAAACAAGAACTTCAAGTGTGCCTAACTGAAAATAAGTGCTTGATGAAAGTCTTGAATGGCTGAAGTGCAGGCTTGGGAAAGTGGGCACCACATTTATTGACAAACCTCTTCGGAAGTTCGCAATGCTTATTTATTTACAGACAGCGTGCATCAACTACATTATTTCATAACAATGCTTAGGCAATGCTACGAAACGCTGTAAGCAGCCAGTACATGCGCTATACTATCAGTTTATTCTTTTTTTTTTCGATTCTCTTTTGAAACGCTGCCCAGGCAGTATTTCAAGAAGGAACCAGTTAACAACGTCTATGCATGCTAGTTTTCTCTGACCGACGTCAAATGAAAACGGCTAGCTGTACGCAAACGTCCCAAAGCTGCTTCTTGATCGGCCGGGAACCGTAAACCGCGTCTTCGCACACTCGGTAGCTGACTGAGGGAATGTTTCTCGTTCCGCAACGCGAAATTCGATTGACATGTGGGAACAACTGCAGGTTTGCGAAACTGTAGCAGTCATGTAGCGCAGCACACATGGCTCGCGGGCTCTTACATTTCCTGCCGCACGCGCCAGCGCCCAGTAACAGCGCAACGCTCATAAAAGGAGTTCAACAACAAGCAATACAATAGAGCGGCCCGCTTTTTAACCTCGCCTAGCTACCACGCACCTAAGCGAATCGCAAAAAAGAAGGCCACCACAAAATGCAACGCGGCATCACACAAAGCATTCGCGAAATCCGCGTTTAGCGAGAACAAAGCAACGAAGTATAGTGAACAACTCCGAAAAAACAAAACAAACAAGCGCACACAGCGGCAAAATAGCAAACAATTCCGCTGCACTTCAAGCGTAGGTGCACAGTAACGAAATAAACACTAGCATTACCTTCTTCGCCGTAACTTGTCTACCTGGTGATGAAGTTACCGCCGGAAATCGAACTCGGCTCTAAGCGGTTGAAAACCAACGTACACTCTTCCAAGAATAGTCAGACGGAAGGAAGCACAGCTGATAGACGCTCATCGGGGAAACAACACACGCACACGCACAAAAAACGTAAACAACCTGCGTATGCCGCCCGGTAGCGGGGAGGAAAAGGCGAAGGCTCGGACAAACGACAGGTCAACTTAGCTGATTAGGCACCACCGGGTTACCTTTAGGTAGTCGAAAATGCTCGTTTGAGACCCGTGAACTCATGCGATGAGCACCGACGAGCGCGTAACAACTTGCCACAAGCAGCCCACAGCAACAACAACGCTCGCGAGCTTCGCTACAATGGCGGCCATGCCATACCATACGGGCGCGTTCATTGGCTGACCCGAGAGAATAAACCCTGGTCACGTGATCTCGCTGCAAAAACAACGAAAACTATATCTTGGAAAAAACTAGTAGTAAAGTTTGACAAATCTTATTTTTTATAAACTCCAATTAGTAGTGACCACATAAACGAAACCGAAACTACGTTGCACGAGCGCGCGTAAATTTGGTTTTGCGTTGTCGGAATGGTGGGTAGCAAGGAATATTCACATGTGCTGTCTGTGTGTTTCTCATAACTGGCAAGCGTTCTTCTTGATTTATAAGCACGTAAAAGCTGCTCAACAAGCAGACTATGCTGCTTGACTGTCTCCCTTTTTTTTTCTCTTTTTTTTTCAGTAAGTTGGCTTGCTCGCGATAAGAACTTTGTTGCAGAGAAGCCAGCCGTCCGTATTTCATTCAAAATTCAAGACTTATCAAGCAGCAGCGCTACGGAAGAGACAATGCCGTACGTTTGTTGCGTCTCATGGCGACCATAGAGAAATGCGAATGTTTATTGACACCAGACGTACAATGAACGCAGTGGAAGTTCTGACTCGAGTCATGACCATAGGCGTGCGCAGAGGTCCCCTTCAGGATGGAGGGGGCGAAGGTAAAAGCGAAAGTTCGTCGCAGCTCCCCTGTTCCCCATTAAATCAATGTATAGGGCTGACCCCCCCCCCCCCCCCCCCCCCCCTCGCTACGGAAGAACGGTGTCCAGAGTGCAGGAGGGCTCACGTTCGTAAAGAAGAAAGTATGGGGAGAATTTCGTGGTGGTCTGAGTCGCAGTATTTGTGTGCACGTAAAAAAGGTTAAAACGCGGTTCCAGCTTGGGTGACCAGAATCGACTGCAGCATACCACCCAATGTTCGGTGAAATCGTTTAGTCAAGCCGCTGTTTATTTTTATTTTTTTTATTTACATAATACTGCAGGCCCAGTGAAGGGCCCAAGCAGGAGGGACATATTTACAAAGCTCGTAATAAGGACAACAGAAGATCAAGAACATGAAAAGCGCGAAGAATAAGGACATAACTCAAACAATGAATAAAAAAGACATTTAACACTTTAACAATACAGGTCAAGATACAATATGTTCAATTGAGTCTATGCTATTTATGAATAATGCTGGTAATTGATTCCATTCGGTTACAGTGCGCGGGAAAAAGGAGAATTTGAAAATGTTAGTTCTAGCATTGAAGGGCGTTAGAGAGTCGGCATGCCGGTGTCTTGTTCTGCGAGTGGTGAGTGGTTGGATGTATTGTTCTGGTCTCATTGACAACTTGTTATTCTTGAGAAGAGAAAGAAATTTTAATCTTTGGATTTTACGTCTTAGTTCTAAGGTTGGTATGTTATGGTCTCTCATGAGTTGGGTTGGGGAATCGCTCGAACGGTATTTAGAGTAAACGAACCGAACCGCTTTATGCTGAATCATCTCAAGTGCATCAATGTTAGTTTTTGTGTAAGGGTCCCAGATTATACATGCATACTCCAATTTCGGTCTTACAATAGATGTATAGGCTAGCATTCTAACACTTGCAGGAGCATGTTTAAGCTTATGTATTAAAAGGCTCAGTTTACGAAAGGATGACGCACAAATGTCTGAAATGTGCTTGTTCCAACTTAAAGTGTTTGTTATGGTAAGACCCAGATACTTATATTCTGTAACTTCGTTCAAAGGTTGTCCTGAAAGGTTGTAAGGGAAGGATAGAGAATTTTTCTTATTGGTTATTTTCATAAAAACTGATCTGAGGGAATTGTGCGACCGCACGAAGTTTTGTAAGATCAGGAAGAACATTCTCCCTGGAGGCGATGTGGCCCAAGATAAGGAGCTTTCGAGCGCCAAAGCAACACTTCTTGAAATTCAACTGTAGACCAGTAGATTTCACGCAAAAGAGCACTGCTTCCAAGCGTTGAATATGCGTTGCAAAGCCACGCGAAAATATTACATTGTCATCCAGGTATACCGCAGATGTGCCAGTCATTTTAGGCCACGGAGCATGTTGTCGACAATGCGTTCGAACGTGGCAGCTAGGCGCGTTGCATAGACTGAACGGCACACAAATTCGCACGAGCCATCGGGAATAACAAAAGCTGTTTTGGGGCGGTCAGGCACAGCGATTGGCATATGCCAGTAAACGGAGCGCAGATGTAACAAAGAGAAGCGCTCGGCTTCTTGTAGGCAGTCGAGGGCATCGTCTTTGCGACGTAGCGGGATAGACATCTTTGCGTGCGATTATGTCCAGCCGTTGTTAGAAAAAAAAAAAAAAGACGGTTCTGCTTTGACTTAGTCATCTTTCTATTTGACTAGCACTATACCGACGATGTCCAAAGGCTGTTGGAGGACTAAATACCTCCCCGCCTAAGCATGCCATCAACCTGTTCGGGCACTGATGTGAAGCTCAGCTGCTGAAGGACGATATGGGTGCTGACGTAAAGGGCATATATAGACCAATGTCGATGTGATGAGCTACAGCTTAAGTACGGCCCAAGGGCGGTTACCCGTAATCGAAGCTGGCACGAAAGTGTTCAAGCAAAGCGATGATGTCAGCGCATTGCTGGGACGTCAGGTAGCTGCCGGTGCACCTATAAGGTTCATCGGTGATTTATGGTAGCGAGGCTGGAGGGGGGCAACAGTCGCCGTTATTCTGGACGGAAGGCGACCAATCAGCGACGTCAATTTGCCGAAAAAAAAAAAAGGAATCAAGGTCACCAACGCTGCCAATGCATTCTCCCTTCAATACTATACGGAAGGGCGGGGAAACGGATTGGAAACAAATTGCACAAGTATCTTGAATCGTGAGCACCGTGAAAGGCATGAAGACACACTTGCGGCGTAAAATGGTTTCAACGGGTGTAAAAAGAACAGGTGTGTCAACCGAGACGTCGCATGAAAGCGGGCCAAAGCGGATGAGAAAGGGGGCATTGTGGTGTCGGCGGCGACAAAAACTTACACAGATATATGGACGACGAGTCAACTAAAGCAGACCCACACGACGGCGAGAACTCGACCTAAAAGCGAGCGCCGTCTATAACGACATGGTAAGTGCATAGGAAGTCCCATCCTATAGTATAACATCGGGGGAACATTGCGCAATCATGACAAATTCGACTGCATAAACAACGTCTCCAACAATAATTCACGTTATGCACGCAGCGAATGGCCTAATTTGTTGCGCACCGGCAGTAAATGACAAAAAGTCGCGAAGAGGCGACCCAT